TTTAACTTTGGATTTTTGTCTTTTATTTTTCTTTTTTCGATTCTTTTTATGTTTTTTTTTTTTTTGTTGGTTTGATTGATTTGGTTTTTTGTTTGTTTTTTGCTTTTTCATTTCCTTTTTTTTCTTTTCTTTACTCTCTTTATATTTATTTTTCTTATTTTATTATTTTTTTTTGTCTTTCTTTCTTTTTTTTTTATTTTTTTATTTTGTTTTTCTTTAATTTATTTATAAAATCGTTATAAAAAAGCGTCCGCCATTGCGGATGTCTCTGCACTGTCCAATATATATATATATATATATATATATATATATATATATATATATATATATATATATATATATATATATATATATATATATATATATATATATATATATATATATATATATATATATATATATATATATATATATATATATATATTATATATATATATATATATATATATATGTATATATGTATATATGTATATATGTATATATGTATAGATATACATATATACATATACATATATACATATATATATATATATATATATATATATATATATATATATATATATATATATATATATATATATATATATATATATATATATATATATATATATATACATATATATATATATATATACATAAAAAAAAGTTGAAGCAATGAGCAGAAAAATATCATACATATAGAACATATTTATCTGAAGTTAAAAAAAAAATTGTTGAAATCCTACAGTCAGATTTTTAGAAAATTGATTTCAAATAAATAAACAAATCTATGATTTACACTAAAAAAGTATTAAGTAAAAATATAGTTTTAGCGCGCAAAGATTATTGTTACCTCTATTTATTTATATTTTTGTGAAATTTTTGTATTATTTTATTGATTTACGTTAAAAATAAGGCTATATCATTGGCTTTTCAGAAATTAATTAACAAATAAACTGTTGCCATATAAAATATTCTCTGTAGTTAAGAACCGTAGCCATTTTAAAAGTTCAAAAGTTTTTTGTATTTTCTTACGCATGCGTACCTGAACATAGCGCTTTTTACTACAGGGTTATTCATTCTTATATGCGCGTCTATTCGTTTTTAATTGCGCCTTTATTCATTCTTATATGCGCATTTATTCATTTTTATATGCGCCTTTATTCATTCTTATATGCGCATTTATTCATTTTTATATGCGCCTTTCTTCATTTTTATATGCGCATTTATTCATTTTTATATGCGCTTTTATTCATTCTTATATGCGCATTTATTCATTTTTATATGCGCCTTTATTCATTTTTATATGCGCCTTTATTCATTCTTATATGCGCATTTATTCATTTTTATATGCGCATTTATTCATTTTTATATGTGGTTTACAAAAGCAATTGTAAAAAAGCAATTTGAACCAAAAAAAATCATTTAATAAAATCATTATTAAAACAGTTTATTATTTCAAAGCAAATTTTTCTTATTTCCTGGTAAACGAGTTTAAAAATACTTATAAGACGAAGACTTTTTACATTCGATGATGGTTTATTTAACTTAGTATTAGTTTTTAGTTTAATTTTATTACATTATATTAAATTGTATTATTGTATTAAATTTCTTGATTGATTAAGTTATTTTTTATCTAATTATTTATTTTTCTAGATTTATTATTTAATTATTTAAAATTATTAATATCAAATTTTTACCCTATGGATGGAATAGAAAATAATCGTAAAACAAGGAAAAATGTTACAAAAGAGCACATTGAAATGTTTAAACATATAGTTAAAAGAAATCAATCTACAACAAGCATTTCCACTTCTCTTAATTTATCGAAGCGCACAGTTCAAAATCTTGTCGTTAAGTTAAACAGAGGAGAATTCGACGACATGACTGCATTCAAGTCGTCTTCTGATAAAAAACGAGGTGAAAGACCTATAAACGCTCAAATAAAAAATATTATCGAATTATGCGTACAAGAAAACAATCTTTGCACGCAAGAAACAATAAAAGAAAATCTTTCTGCAGCAGGCTTCAACATGTCTCAGCCTACTATTTCAAGAAAACTCAAACGCTCGGATTTATCAAGAAAACGTGTTGTGCATGTGCCAGAAGAACGAAATTCAACACGAATTATTAATGCACGCTATGCATTTGCAAGCGAAATTAACGGAATTTCAGATGAAAAACTTATTTATTTGGATGAAACTGGATTTAATGTGCACACTAACAGCACATGTGGTTATTCGCTAAGAGGTGCGCCAGCAATTTTACAGTCGCCTGCAAATCGTGGCAAGAATGTTAGTTTAATTTGTGCTGTTTCAACAATGGGAGTGCTTGCCTATGAAACAGAAAATGGAGGCTGGAATGCAGATTCATTTTGTACTTTCATAACTACAATGATGGCACCAGCGATTAGGAATGCAAATGTGGAAGCGCTGGTGCTTGTTATGGACAATTGTAAATTCCACTGGAGTCTTTCTGTTAGGCAAATACTAGCCTCTCATGGTATAGCTATTAAGTATCTGCCAGCTTACACGCCACAGCTTAATCCAATAGAATAATTTTTCTTCTTCTTTAAAACATACTTACAAACAGGGAGAAAGGCCTCGAAATACGGATGAGGTAATCAGGAAACTTAAAAATATTATGGATACTACAGAGTTTAATATAGTTCCATTTTAAAACCATATGCGTAGTTATATAAATCAAGCGCTGGCTCGGCAACCATTTCTTAAATAAATAACAATGAAAACAACCTAATTTATATTTTAAATATGTCTATATAAAAATTTAAAAGCGTAATTATCGTTTATATTAAATTATATTAGAGACTTTATGGGTGGTTGACGCATATACAAACATAGGGATGTATAATTTGATATTAATAATAATTATAAACAATTAAATTTAAATCTAGATAAATGAATAATTAGATAAATAATAACTTAATCAATCAAGAAATTTAATAATAAAATTACAAAGAACTAATACTAAATTAAATAAACCATCGTCGAATGTAAAAGGTCTTCGTTTTAAGTATTTTTAACCTCGTTTACCTGGAAATAAGAAAAGTTTGTTTTGAAAAAATAAACTATTTTTTCAAAACAAATTGCTTGAATGATTTTTTTTTGTTCAAATTGCTTTTTTACAATTGCTTTTGTAAAACGCATATAAGAATGAATAAAGGCGCATATAAAAATGAATAAAGGCGCATATAAAAATGAATAAATGCGCATATAAAAATGAATAAAGGCGCATATAAAAATGAATAAAGGCGCATATAAAAATGAATAAATGCGCATATAAAAATGAATAAAGGCGCATATAAAAATGAATAAAGGCGCATATAAGAATGAATAACCCTGTAAATATGAATAAATGCGCATATAAAAATGAATAAAGGCGCATATAAAAATGAATAAATGCGCATATAAGAATGAATAAAGGCGCATATAAAAATTTTTGCTCTCTAACTAATCTTTAAAAAAAAAAAAAAAAAAGGTCCTTGTTTTCCTACATTTATCGACTGCCCTGCCAGTTATTATAAATAACTGGCAGGGCAGTCGATAAATGTAGGAAATGTATTAATTATTCATTTATTTCGATTTAAATAAGACGCGCATATAAGAATGAATAAACCTGTAATATCTAAACGACCGTGAGCCCCCCTACGAATTTTTTTACTCGGCAAACTTGGGTTTATAGTTGGCAGGGCAGTCGATTAATGTAGGAAAACAAGGACCCTTTTTTTTTTTTTTTAAAGATTAGTTAGAGAGCAAAACTTTTTTAAGTGATTAAGAAAATTACATTAAACCGAAAAATTTAAAAATGATTAAAAAATTTAAAAAAAATTTAAAAATGATTAAATACAAACGTATTTTAATTAAATGCTGGGGCACTGGATACAAACTTACTACATAATAACTTCTCGGTGCTTTGTGATAACACCGGATAGTCATCGTCGAGCATTTTAAAAACCTAGAAATAAAGTCGGTTATTATAATAACTATTATGTTTGCTTGTTATTTTTGATATACATACATAAATAGGACAAACAGTAGTGCTCCTGTTGCTATATTTATTACTTTTTCTAAATTCAAGATTTATTTTGTTGAAATTTAAATGTTTCTCTCATTTGCAAAACAAACTCATTTAAGTGGTAACTCTTCTTTATTTGAAAACCTAGTTTCTTATATTTTAGGTTCGTTGTTGTAATATCATACAAAATAACCAATGATCCACCGAACTACGTTTAGAAAACTTAAACTTTATCTATTATTTGTGTTCACGGAAATTCAAAATTACGCTATATACTATATATTTAACTTTATAAAAAAATATATTTAGAGTATTAAACAACTAATTTGTAGTTTTTATACAACAACATGCAAAGTACATGTAACAACAACATGTAAAGTACATGTAACAACATGTAAATCTGATTATAAACTCTGTAAACTAAAACAAAGTGGAAAAAGAAAGACACGCACAAAAGAACTGATATACTCGGCTTTCATATCATCAGAGTTTAATAACTGCTCTCTTGTTAAAAATCAAATTTGTTGCAAAGTATCTTTTTCTATATATAACATTAGCAAATCCAGACTTGGAGAAACACGAATGCACACGTTGCGTTATCAAAGTACCTAAAATTTTACTTATTGACATGATTTGTTGGTAAACAAAATTTATCAAATGAGCATAGGTTAGACCAAATTTAATTATAATAGTTTATTATATCAATAAACTATCTTTATACAAATTAATATATAAAGTCTTTAATAAGAAATACTGCGTATTTATTATTAAAGATTTTATATATTAATTTGTATAATTAAAACTATTTATTATTTTTTAAATAATTTTTTTAAAATAAAAAAGTAATAAAATAATAAAAGATGTTGATTTTACAATTATTAAAGTTCTAATTTGTAAAAACACTACCACCACGCCCCCTCCCTGTTTGTAATAAAATATGTTGTGTAATTTATTAAAAAAAAAAAGTATAACGAAGATTGCAACACTTTAAATATGCGATTCATATTCTTATTTAAATGATCTTAATAAAGATCTTTAATCTTTTTTACAGATGAATTCCAATTTTTGATCCACATTTCTTCATCAGAACGTAGTCTACAGCACATCTCATCAACTTCGTGCTGTTTTATTGTAAGTTCTTCGTAAATTTTCTAAATAAAAATATTTCTTAAACGTACCCCAGAAATGTTAAATTTTTATGAATAAACTCTAGTATATTCTTATAAATATAAATATAAACATTCTTAAAGTTGAACATTTTAGGAAAAAGTAATATAAAGGGAAGTCAAAAAGTTAAAGGGAAGTCAGATCACGATATAGTCCACGCTTTCCCATTAAATTCATCATATTGCAAGACTAAACCAGCACCCACATTAGCAACATACAGATCTGGTAACCGTGTAGACATGGCAGAAGCTCTGAGACAAACAAATTGGAAACAAATTATCCTTTTATAAAACTTTTCCCAAGACAATGATAGCATTCGACTTATTCTACTAACACATTATTCAGATAGGAAATTATCACCAACCATTAAAAACAACAAAAACTGTCAATGATAAACCATCGATGGCAGCGGACATTAGGAAACTAATTCGAATCCGACAAATACAATACCACAATGGCGATCTTGAACTCAAAAATATGGCACCGCAAAAAATAATTCTATAGTGGCCTCATTAAAAAAACCAGCACCTGTTGGAACAAAATAAATAAAATCAAAAAAGCTCTGAAAACACAATCCATCAATACAGATTTTGCAAAGTAATTAAACGAAGGTTTTTACAATGTCTGAAATGTTTCAAAGCAGCCGGACATATCTCGTTTCATAATTAGTTCAAACCACCAAAACGTACCCCTACATCACCTGGACCTGACCAGATCTGCCCAAAACTACTCAAATGCGTTCGTCTTGAAATCTCCGATATTCTAAGTCTTCTGTTTAACCAGTGTTTGTCTCACTCATTTACGCCTTATCAATGAAAACTTGCAAACATAACACCTATCGCTAAATTACCAAACCCAAGTAACTGGTCAGACTTCCGTCCAATCTCACTCACATCCTACCTCTGCACGTAAGAAAAAGTTGTCGCCAAATTTATTATTCACCATACTCACACCACCTTAGAAAACAAAAAACAATATGGGATTCTACCAGGTAAAATCACAATGGATGCAATTGCATGTGTGGTAGAAACAGGCATTTTGCTAAAGACAAAAAGAAAAATTTAATTGCAATATTTTTTGACTTTGCTAAAGCCGTTTGACGTAATTGATCACGAGCTTCTTCTTACCAAATTACCAATATACCTCCATAAATGGCTTATTTCTTGGATTGCATTGTATCTAAAAACCAGATATCAGCGAATTTATACTAACGGCATAGCAACAGAATGGCGACCTGTGGAAGCTGGGATTATCCAAGGCAGTACACTCGGACCCATTCTTTTTATGCTCTTCATACTCGATATAAACGAAATATTTAACTGCAATACTGAACTTTACAAATTTGCTGATGACATCCTTGCATAGATTGTTGGAGACCTAGCCCACTTAACCCTACCACAAAAATATGCGACAAAGTTAATAACTGGTGCATTAAAAAAAATGTTATTAAACACAAAAAAATGCAAAATCTTGAGCATACCTAGTAACAAACTCGACACACGCCCACTACCAATTGTTTCCATCAAATCCAAAGCTCTCGAATATGTAACCTCATATAAATACCTAGATTTAAATATTGAAATAAACACCGACCAAAATGGCATCGTATCAAGTCCAAATTCTCCTCAGCTCAGTACATAATTAGAAGTCTAAAAAAATTAGGCTTTCATAGTGAATTACTAGTAACAATATACCGAAGCATTTGACTTGATCCATGGTGCACCATTACTGTATGCAAGCAGTATCAAAATAAAGCACGAAATAAAGTAAATACATGTAAAAACGCTAAAATCTATAGGTATTACCGACAATACATTGACTATATATGTATAAAAATCCTAAAACGTATTTTATGAAACCCAAATCATCCGCTAAAAATAAAGACAAAAAATAAATCTAAAATAACAAGAAGACAAAATATCAACTTTGGGTTCAAGATAGCTACTACAAATACGGCTCCCATAAATAGTTTTACCCAAAGAACATTGCGTCTTATAAGAGATGGGAAATATAACTTGTACATTAGTTAACCAAAGTAACTAAAAATTTAACTACCAAAATATGTGTGCATATATATGAATGTGTGTATGTATGAATGTAAAAAATTTTGTAATTTCTAAATTTTTAGACCATTGAATTTAAATAAAAGATATATATATATATATATCTATATATATAAATATATATATATATATATATATACATATATATATATATATATATATATATATATACATACATACATATATATATATATATATATATAAATATATATATAAATATATATATATATATATATATATATATATATATATATATATATATATATATATATATATATATATATATACATATACATATACATATATATATGTATATATATATATATACATATACATATATATATATACATATATATATATATATATATATATATATATATATATATATATATATATATATATATATATATATATATATATATATATATTTATATTAAAAAAAAATGCAGGTTGCTCACTTTGAATATCTTGTCGCGTGACTTTGTAACCAATTCGTGAACTGAAGTTGTCTGTGGTATCGCTAATTTTTTATCGTTATTATCGCAATAAAAATAGTTCATTATCTCCACATCTAAACCTACATTTAAAAAAATGTAAATGTAATACACTATGAGGTTTATATAATTATAACTATTCCACAATCCATACACACAGAGACATAGAAAAAATGCCACAAATAGAAACGCGCACAAAATACCTTTATTGGATTGCTTATGTTTACTTTTTATCAAATTTTCTTTCAAAAGTTCTTTTTCAGTTTTTGTTTTAACTAAAAAAATAAAATCACAGTACAATATATAAGTACATTAAAAAAATATATAATACATTAAAATAACATAAATAGTTTTTACCAGCTGCTGCAATAATTTCTAAATTCACTGCTTCATCAAATTGTTTCAGTAAAATAACAATGATATCTTGAAAACGGCTAACAAAAGATTTCACATGTAATTTAATGGAACCTTCTATGCTATGGTGATAGTTGTCTATGGTTTTCAAATTCTCATTTTGTCTCTTTAATTCCGAATCACAAAGCTTTCTCATTTCAGTTTCATTGTTTGGATGACCGAGGGTAGGACGAAGCAGTGTTTGATGCTCTCGCTGAATTAGATTACAATTTATTTAATTTCAAATATATATATATATATATATATATATATATATATATATATATATATATATATATATATATATACATATATATTCAAAAAATTAAATACCAAAAAAATTATAAAGTTAAGTTATACCCTAATTATTACATAATCAATTTTCCATGTTTTAAGGGAAGTTGGGAAGGGGAGGGGGGTTAAAGGTATAAAAACATTTGTGTTGTTTTAAAGGTATGTTCTGTATTTTATTTATAGATTATTATGCATAGTTGTCCTTAGTATGTTTTTACAACGATTTTTTGATATATACGATAAATACTCAAAATAATATCAATCGTAAATAGAAAAATTCTAATCAAATATAGCAACAATAATATATAAAGCTACAAATAACATAATGTAATACAGTTTTTGTCTTTAGATTTAAAGTGTTATACTTCAAGTGTAGTATTATATTTAAGCTGTAACTGATGATTTAGTTGGTGTACAAAGTACATTTAGATAACAATATCATTATTCAAAATATTTACATTCTTTAAAACCCATTTGTCAAGTTTAGTTTCAAAAGAATTCACAGAAATAGCATTAACAACATCAATAGGGGAGAGTTGCAATAATTGGAACAGCGCCTTAATTGGAATACTTGCATTTATTTAAAAAAAAAATGGATTAAAATGTTGAAAAATGCTTTAACTGAAGACAATAAAAAAGGTTTTTCTAATGCAAGCATTATGTTAGCAACTAAAAACTTAAATAAAAATTCAATCAATTAAAAAAAAACAACCTAAAAACACAAATTATATATAATAATAGCATAAGTTAACTGCGTCACTTTAGGTTGTACATAGAAGTTAAAACTACATGCAATAAAATTAATTTTGTAGCAGAATTTCAACTCTATACAAGCTTTAGAAAAGCAATCAAATGATATTATTTGGTCTAGACTTTCTCTAATCTAAGGATGTTCATAGTAAAGTCAACATTCATTTAAAGTAGAAAAACATAAAAAACCATAACATACAAAAAAAAATTTCTACAAATTGCATAGGTTATGTACAAATATCAGTGAAATAAAAGACATCAAAGCATTGTCATTTGTTATTCTATTGAGATATTTTTATCTAATTTAGGTATGCATACATTACATAATAATAACTTAATTTTTTATTAATTTGGGCTACTTAAAAGTAATATTTGTCTTGTAATTAATTATTTAATAGTTCAAGGTAATATGGGTATAATTACTGTAAAGTTCAAAACTAACCTAACTTTTTGTTTTAGATCATACCACGCACATATGTGAAATATGAAAGTAATGATCTACAAAAAGCTAAAATGTTAAGAACTGAAAACTGATGTATGCAGCTGCAAAAAAAAATAAAATATTCTGTATAAAACTGAGAGGAAGATATGTATCCAACCTATCAAGGCGTTGGGGTAGGAACAGTATTGACAAGAGACGAAGAGAAATATATAGTAGATGCCTTAATTTTACAGCAAATTGTAGATATCCACTATATCAAGATAAGATTTGTAATATATGATGCACAGTTATGTACAGTCAGCAGGTAGGAAGACATCATTTAAATATAACATAACCGGTTACGACTTTATTATAGATTTTTAAAAAATGGAAAGAAAAACTTTTTAACTATTGAAAGAAATTTTGAAAGAAGACTGAAAGAAAAAAGAAAGAAGAAGCAAAACAAAAACCTGAATTACTAATTATAGCAAGGGATGAAAGGCTATTTAGGTATGTGGTGGATGAATTTTTTAAAATTTATCAAAACATTCTGGATGAAAACAATTTAAATGACCCAAAAAAAAATTTAATTTAGACAAAACTGGCCTAGGTACTAACCCTACTAAGGGTAAAGTATTTGTTCCAAAAAGTGACAAGATAATGTATTCACATTCACAAAGTGCCAACAAACTCCAGTACATTATTCTTTTTGTAGCAAGTGCTCATGGTGAATGCTTCCAACCTTGTGTTATTTATAAAGGAAAAGGAGAGTTACAATCTATTTGGGTAAAAAAAGGATTGCCAGGTATGCTGTATGGGGTTAGATAATCTGGTTGGATGCAGAATTGTATTTTTGAAAAATGGTTAAATGTATTTGTCAAGAAAATAAAACACCTTGAAAAGCCTGTTTTAGTATTATTTGATGGACATAGTGTAACCATACAGCTAAGGATAATAGCATTATACTTTTATGTTAACTGCCTCATATGTTAAATGCTCTTCAACCATTAGATGTTGGTGTATTTTCTCCTATGAAAAATGACTTGAAAAATATATTGAAAAAAAATACAGTGAGTCATGCCTTAAAAATGTAAATAAAGCAATTTTTCCAAGTCTTTTAAAGACACTTGTAGCAATCTCATTTAAATCTAATCACATAATATGCAGTTTAAAAGGATCTGGTATTTACCCAGTGATCTGGAAAGCAAAACTGTTTCAATTCAACCCAGCATTTCAAAACAAAAATATCCTGAAAAGTTTTAAAACAAAGAGATTAGGGTATAAGGAATTAGAGAAGCTCTTACAACTGACAAATTACTAGAAAGGTTGAAAGAAGAGGAGGTAAAAAGAAATGAGAAAAAGAAAATACGAAATACTAAATAAAAATACTACAGCCTTAGATATCAAAACTAAACAGGAGAAAGATTAGAAAAAGAAAAGATCTTAGAAAAGATCCTGTTCCCGATTTTAATGTTTTTTAAATTTTATTAATCTATGATAATATTATAAAATTTTTATGTTGTCTTTTCATTTTACATAAAAATGCATTCACTGCTTCCACCTTCATGGCACAACCATATTTCAGGGCTGGGAAATTTAGGTTAATAAATGTTAACTCTCATATTTTGATTAAGCAACTAAAAATTATGAGCTTTTGAAGCATTTACAACACCTTTTTATAGTTATACCAACATTTATTTTCATTTTGACTTTGCATTATTACTTTTATTCTTTTTGTATTCTCAGCTGACATGTTTACTTTTAAACTTTTAAAAACTTCAGCACATGATGAAGAGGTAAAAATTATACTGTCAATGCTTGGCAATTTAAATTTTTCAAAACTTCACAAATAAAGTTTTTTTTTGGCATTGGAACTGTAGTAAACAGAAAGTTTGTTGGCACAATTTTCTCAAGAGCAGAAGCAACATGATTGGTATTCAATACTTGTATTTTATTACTTGATATAGGATTATATATTTTTTGTCACTGCTCCTGATTTTTGCTTTTTTTTACCTAATTGATCAAGATCTTCTTGACTAAAGTCAAGGTTCAATCTTAAAAGGTGCTACTTCTTTTCAAAATGGCAACCATTTATATAAAATACTTAAACACACAGGGTTTGTTAAACCATTTCTTACAGTAGCTTCCGCTCTATACATTGCTGCAACAACATTATGCAAGTCAATGAAAAGCTTTTATTTTAACACTTTTTTCTAATACTAACCTCAATTTATGATATGTATCAATGATAGATTGTGATTTCTGACATTCTGACTTTAAATTATGATACTTAAGTGGATGAAGCCAGAAAGATTTATAGTAGATGTATGCTTTTGGATATTTAGAATAACTCAAGTCTTGACTTCCAAGTTCTGATGAGTTTAATAATAAGTAGTTTAATATATTTGGATATAACAACACTAGCCAAAATAGCATACCCTCTTGTTAATCAGTCCAGCCTTCAAGAATTTTTCAACGGATCAGGTACCTGTATACCATTTAATTTAAATTTCAAGTGATGTTCCTTTTTTTAAATCTGACTCAAATTCTACTGGTCTTTTTAAAAGAAGAGCATTGTTTTCTATTGAAGCAAACACACAAGCCACAAAATCTTTTTTATACCGTTTAACATTAATTCATCTATCTTCAAATTTTATCTTTGAAATCATATCATAGTCCATGATTAACTTAATAGTAAGTATTTGTTTTAACAGATGTAGTTTGATATTTGTACTTTGTTTTCTCAAGTTTTCTCAAACTGTCTTATTACCCCTCCAGACCTCTTACAAAATGGTATATTTCAAATTTACTCAACTGCTGTGTTGTAGAATAGTTAAGAAAAAACGAAAATTTAAATAATATGTACTAATCTATAGCACATAACTAATTATATAAATTTGAAAGCAGGTAATTTCACAAAACACCTAATACAAGGTATAATATTAACATATAACATATTTTCCAACAGTAAACCAACATGTAACAACAATTTTTAAGTAAGCTAAAATGTCTAAATAATTTTAACTCTACAAAATACATCTTAGCAAGAAGCAATTATTTAACTTAATTCAAGAGTTCTTTTGAAGCAGGTTGTGAAATATGGAGCCCATATGTTGTCCTGATCCTAACAAGCATGCCTGAATATAACATGTAGGCTTTACAGATTTTACAACCTGCATCAATAGAATACTTTTTTGATCTTGTTTTGATAAAATATCCACACAAATAGCCAAATGCATCCGCTGGATGCTAACAACCTTTGCCATACAAATTAAATAGTTGCTAACCTAATACAATTCATTGTTTATTTAATCACTGAATAAGGGAGTGTCAATGTGACAAATGATACAAGACAAATGATGAGTCAGTCAATTATTGATTTTATGCTAGAAAAAAAAGAGAGATTATCAGTATGACAGAGATTATTGTAAAGCTAGGTACATATTATATTATTAGTCATAACAAATCATGTTGGTATATTGCACAAGTAAATAAAATTGTAGAGGAAAAGAGGACATATAAAAGAGAATTTTATAAAAGGAGAAAAAAGCCTGAAAAAGACATACTGCTTGGATAAGTGAAAAATTAAATTTGCTTGGCTAAGTGCAAGATAAAACAAGCTGGGCACAAAGTTTAATCAGATGAGCATATGTTATTATGTAAGATGATAGATTTAGAAGATAAATTAATTTAGGTAAAAATAAGGTAAATGAAAGTGGGTGAAGTCAGACTTGAAGGTTGTTCATAGAACATAAACAAAAATAATTGATCAGGTAAGATTTAAAAAAAGTATTCTTGTTAACAAAATAAGAAAGCATAAAAATTCTTAGAATGACTTGCACTTGTTAAAGAATTAAAATTTACATCTTGAAACTTTCAGAATGGCTTTTAAGGTTTTTCAAAAAAATTTAGGAAAAAAATAATCTTAAAAAAAACTACAACACAACACAAAAACATGATCATTTTTAATTATCATTAATAATTCTTTAATGGTATTCATTTTTTATTGAAAATTTTTGCTGTTGTTTTATTGTGCACTTTTTTATTAAGCTATTTAAATTATGTTGTTTAGTTGGGTTTAATAAACAACTAAATGTTTTTAAATGTCATCCAGTAGATTTAAGGAAAATTTTGATCTATCTAATCAAGGTATACTTTAATTACTTTAATCAAACAATAATACATTTTTGTGAACTTGTCAGAAGTAGATCAAACAATTTTTGTTAAGGCTGGAGTTAGGGTTGTTTTAAAAATAAAAAATAACAACCATCCTAAATCAGGAATATATTAAACAAATTACATTATCAAAATTTATTATGTTAAAACTTGTATTTTAAAATTTGCATGTTTACCCGTAAATTTGTATTAATATCTTGCTTTTTTAAAAAAGAATTTTTGATTAACTCCTCTCCTTTTATAAATTCAACTTTTTGGGTTGAGTATAAACTCTGCACAAATAGTTCTGGTAACATGCGAGCATATATCATAAAAAAACAAACTTGTGATTGAAGCTCTAAAAAGTTTTTTAGAACAAAGAAATTTAATAAAAATTTTAAAAGTTAAAAAAAGGAAATCTAAAAAAAAAAAAAAAAATTGAAATAAGTAATAAAACCTTGAACACAACTAAAAGCAAATTTATCAGCCTGTTCTCTGAAGTTTTTTAACTTCTGTATAAATAAAGTTGCACACTCTTCAAAGGTTTCTTTGATATCTTTTTGTCTTGTTGAAGGACGCTGTGCCCTCTGTCGATAATATAACTAAAAGGTTGAAAATATTAAAATTTTATTAAAATGTAAGAAATCCAGATTTGCTGTTTAAAACATACTTCTGCTGATAATAAGAGTTCATCTAAGCCAGTTTGCAACAAATAAGCCACTTCTGAATAAAATTGAGTTCTAAAAAAAAGTTAAAAAAGAAAATAAAATACAAATAAAAGACATTATACTTGCTTTGCTTTAAATGAAGAACATTTTTTTTACTTTTTTTCTTGTGAATCTTTATTGATTGTCAAAAATATCTTTTTGCATTCAGTTATTATTACTTCAGTTTCACTATTAAATTAAAGAAACATAACATAATATATAATTACATATAAAAGTAATATAAACATAAAAAAAAAGCTTCAACAACAAATTTTTTTTTTCAGACCTGGGGGTATATGGTATTAGTTTAAAATCACGGTTGTTTGTAGTTTTCTTAAAAAAATATAAAAACAGTTTGTAAAATATTTAAAAAAATACACACATTTTAAACCTTATTTAGTTTAGAATTGAATAATAAAAAAAGCAATATATAAAACACTAAACCTCCAAAGCAATAGATTGAGCTATCAAGAAAAAAAAAAGAAGTTTTCTTTAAAAAATATAAAAGGCTCAAAAAACGTAAATAGCAAAATATTTTAAAATAATTTGAATGGTATAAGAAACTATTTTTAAAAGTTTTAAATTAAAATTAAAATAATTAACAAATGACCTACATAAACTTGAAGAATTATAATCTGAAGACAATTGTTTGGTTTCTTGAGAACTGGATTCAAAATAATTAATACAGAAAAGTTTAATTCATAAATCTAATATTTAAAAATAACATTACTTATAGATCTAAATGTTTTGATCTGTTAGTGATATTCACTGTCTGTGATTTTCTTTATACAAGTATCACAGACAGTGGTGAAGTAGCAAAGGTTACTGGCAGTAATAATGAAGCATAAAATTTGATATTATTGTGTTAAAATATTGTTTAAATTTTTCTATATTTAGTTTTGGCTTTATTAAAGTTATCATAATTATCCAAGCATTTTGAAAAACTTTTTTATTTATTTTAATTCAATTAAAATTTAGTTATTATTTAATTTGATTTTCCATTAATAAACACAATTATATATTTGTTTCACAACATGATGTATTAAATAAAAGTTACAAAAAAAATAAATATAATAAGCATTGCAAGTCAAAAACTATATTACCTAATTATTATTACCTCACCATGGAGATGTTATTATTAGTCTCTTTAGTTTTATTGAAATAGTCCAAATAATTAATTCTCTCTTGAATTGATAGAAATAAAGAAGGAAGAACTTTGTGAATTTCTACTTTTAACAAATCCTTAAAAAAATGAACATTAATATATATATATATATATATATATATATATATATATATATATATATATATATATATATATATATATATATATATATATATATACAGTGGCGGACTGGCTGTATATATATTAAAGGGCCCTCCCAGCCATGCATATATCGCAAAGACTGTCCGGTCCGCAACTCTCTAAAAATAAGTCTTAAGAGGAGCAATTAAATCACAGATTAATAAAATTATATTGAATTAAAAAAGTAGAAGTGATGTGCAATTTGCACAGTGCAAAGTATAGCAATAACTATTCTTTAAAAAGTTTGCTCAATTCAGAGGACAAAGATGCATATCTTTGAATGATCGTATCATCTCAAGGCTATCAAGTAGATTTTTTTCTACAGACATCAACATATACGACTCTAAGTGGTCATTTGACATAGAATTATGCAATCTTGTCTTGATTAACTTTAACTTAGAAAACGATCTTTCACATTTGGCTTGTGTTACAGAAATAGTACATATTATTTTATAAATATGATATAAATTATCATAGGTTTTGTTGTTGAGTCTATATGCAGCAAAAATTTGTAACACACAAGATGGACACGATCCGCATGCTCCATTTGTATGCTGATAACAGAGCGGTTCTTCTATGTCATCCTTTTGATATGCATTCTCTTTCAATGTTATTGTTAAGGGCAAGGACAATTTTAAAATCTCATAGTTAGTGACAAATGATAACAATTCGGCCTTTTTTTTATCAACGTCAGCATCTGGTAAAAATTTGATAATGCTGTGTAAACTGTTTTCAGGAATTCCCGAAATGGCAAGATCACCAAAGTTTGATGTATCAAAACATGCCATGTCCATATATAATTGTCGATGTGAAGTGAAACATGACTCAAGACTTTGGACTACCTGATCCATCACCACATTGTAAGTGTGAATTTTGTAGTGTTCCAAAGCTTTAGATTTGTCACGTTCGTCTACTGTATGTTCATCTAACATCGTTGATGTCTTCCGCTTCCGTTTAGCTGGTAGTTCTATCTTTACCTCTAATATGGTTTCAGTTCTCTGAATGATGCTTGCATTTGCCATCCGTACAAATTGAAGAGCGTTATTATGAACATCATCAAAAAGTCTTGATTAACTTTTTAATTCAATTACGGCCTTCTCCATCATCTTGAATGCAACCAACACATTTAATCCACGAGTTTGCAGGTATATTGAAAGTGGTCCCACTTTTTCAAAAAATCGCAGGTAGGTAAAGGCAGTCAAAATGGTGTCAAATTTCAGGAATGGCGTTAGCAATGTCTTAGCTTCATGACGTGTCTTTGCATCAAAATTTTCTGATTCGCTTATACATGACAGACATAAAATTAAATTGACAAAAACTGTTGAAGATGGCTCAGCAAATGTTCCAAATATCGCTGTTGCAGCATTTGATTTACCTGACCACCTTGTTTCACCAATCAATTTCAATCTTTTCATCTTATCCATTCCAATTTGTGTTTCAACAAGTTTAATCCATGTTGCCATTCGCTTATATGACACTTTTATGAATGTTGAAACATTTTGCAAAAGGGTAAAAAATGAAACTGCCTGAATGCAGCAACTGGTTGCCTCCTTCACAACTAAGTTGAGAATATGAGCATAACACCAAATATGTACATGGTGGTCTGCAGCTTCTGTAATCTTTTGTTGCAGTTCATTGTACTGGTCATGATAACTTGAAGCACCATCAGTGCTGTCCGATAGGCAGTATTTCAAGTTAAAGCCAATCCGCTGTAGCGTTAAATTTAAGAGATCGAACAAGCCTTGGCCAGTACTGTCATTGCTTGGTACAATAGAAAGCAGCCGTTCATGCACAGTAGCATCTAAAACATAGCGAACCACAATGCTGAATTGGTCAATTGCAGATATATCTTGTGTTGAATCAACTTGTACGGAGTACACTTTTGCTTTGGATACTTCCATTGCAATCTGTTCCTGCATCATATTTTTCATAATATTGAGAAGCTTTGATATAGTAGTCTTACTTAAAAACATAACCAGAGCACCGCGACCTTTACTGCCGGCTTTACCTTGACGCTTCAGTTTTTCTATTCTTTTGGTTGATTTCTCACATGGAGAGATGAGAAGCTAAAAGTGGGTCATATTTGGCCAAGAGCTGTACCAAAGCCAAAAAATTTCCATGATTTTCTTCATCATTGTCCAACGAATAAGCACCTTCATTTCTATGACCTCGAAATGGCAATGTTTGCTTACATAAATGTTTAATGATATCAATAACTCGAGAAAGTATTTGTTTCCGTATCAGTACTTCATCATTATATTTCTTTATTGCTGTACAATAAAATCTGTCAAAGTCTTGATTATTCATTATACGAATGTAATCAAGAACATGCCTGCGGTGAGTGCTGCTTGATTCGTGTTCTGCAACCCGTTGGCTAACTCGTCTAAAATCTTTGAAGCCAGACACAAATGATGAAACGGTGTTAGGCTGTGGCGATTCAAATGCAACACAAAATGAGCAATATAGAGACTGAGAATTTTGGCTAAATGACAACCAATTTCTCGGTATGCTATCCTTCAAGTCCATTTGTCTATGGTAGATCTTGTTATCAAACGGCAAATGTTCATGTGGTTGAATTGGATGTTTGCTAAAAAAACATTTGAACTACAAACGTGGTGGATATTCAAATGCTGATGTACTCTGTGAATTCGACTCAATATCTCCACCACCTGGAGCTTGTATTATTGCTGATGCACTCTTCAAATTCGACTCAATATCTCGACTACCTTTTGCTTGTATAACTCCTGATGCACTCTGTAAATTTGACTCAAGATCTCGACTACCTAGTGCTTGTATTATTGCTGATGTACTCTGTGAATTCGACTCAATATCTCCATCACCTCGTGCTGGTATTATTGCTGATGTATTCTGTAAATTTGACTCAAGATCTCAACTACCTAGTGCTTGTATTATTGCAGATGTACTCTGCGAATGTGATTCAATATCTCCATAACCTCGCGCTAGTATTATTGCTGATGTACTCTTCAAATTCGACTCAATATCTCGACTACCTTTTGCTTGTATAACTCCTGATGCACTCTGTAAATTTGACTCAAGATCTCGACTACCTAGTGCTTGTATTATTGCTGATGTACTCTGTGAATTCGACTCAATATCTCCATCACCTCGTGCTGGTATTATTGCTGATGTATTCTGTAAATTTGACTCAAGATCTCAACTACCTAGTGCTTGTATTATTGCAGATGTACTCTGCGAATGTGATTCAATATCTCCATAACCTCGCGCTAGTATTATTGCTGATGTACTCTTCAAATTCGACTCAATATCTCGACTACCATTTGCTTGTATAATTCCTGGTGTACTCTGTAAATTTGACTCAAGATCTCTACCACCTTGTGCTTTAATTACCTCTGATGTAATTTGTACATTCGACTCAATATTGCCTAGACATTGTGGTTGTACTGACAAAAATGATGTGATTAACTTGCACTTTTTTGCAGAAACTTCTATCTCTGTCTGTAGTCTTTCTTTGCGCTTTTTTGCTCCAGATTTTGACATGATGATAGTGACCTGAGTTAAGATTTTAACATTTAAAAAATAAAGCAAAAATAAAGATTGTCTCCTTTTAGAAAAAATGATATTTAGATCTCCCTAAATAAATTTTGTCCGATCAAATTTGTTTGAACGGCAAAAATTGCAAATCAAACATATTAAAACTCAAATAAAGACAGGCCACTAATGACAGATTTTTGGTAAAGAAAGGGGGGCAATGACTCCTTAGCCACGGCACTAATTCCGGTATATTTTAGAATCTTGACTATAGCTATAATTTCCAGATCTGTGAAATTCTTGTATTCTTCTTTTATATTATGACTTTGCTTACTGCTGGAATTATTTAAACTATTGCATTTAAACATTAGAAAATTCATTATAGATGAATTTTCTATTGTATTCCTTGAAGGAAATAGAAGGAAAAGAGTAGCAACTACCAACTTATTCTTTTTTTTTAGTACTTTAACTTGATAGGTGAAGAACATTACGATTATTAATGAAAAAAAAACATGTTTTTAAGAAATAATTTGGATTAGACATTTTATAACAGTTCTTACTCTCTTGATCTATAATCATGCTTAAATTAATGAATTTTTAAACTTTGTTTATAATTTTTTTAACAATTTGAAGCGACAGAACAAAATCCTAAAGAATTTCAAATATAGACTTAATAAAAATATAAAAATCTGTTTAAGCAAAAAAGATATACACATATTTTTTTCTTTCAACACAAACAGAAGTAGCTGTTTTAAAAAATACCTTTTCATGTATTTTATCTCATCCTAAGTTATACATTGTCAAAGTTTAGGATTTTGCTAAAATTTCCGATTTAAGTTTTACTAATTTGCTAAGTTATACATTGTCAAAGTTTAGGATTTTGCTAAAATTTCCGATTTAAATTTTACTAATAGGGCAAATTAGTAAAACTTAAATCGGAAAATAGCATAGTTAAACTACGCTGAGGTACTTTAAGCTGACTAACACAAAAAGTGTTATTTATGTGTTACATAAACAGTAATGCTTATAAAAAGTTACAGAAAACTTGATTATCCGGAAATTTATTTAATTCTCTACCTTTTAAATCTTATCATTTCAGCCGATTAGTATGATCAATGATCACCTTTAAATAATTATTTCGAGCGCGGAAGTTAACTAAAAGTTTTAGATTAAAAAAAGATAATAAATTTTATACAAACTAAATTACCAACCTCAAAAGAAGACTAACATCGCTTCAGTAAACTGGTTGATCAAGTGTGTTTTTGTGTTGAACTATTATTTTTTTAATTTTGAAACGAATATTTAATTCATTTTTTAATTAATTCAAGCACCGCAATTGCAATAATAGTTACAAAGTCAATTCCCTTAGGAAATCATTGATTATATTTGTATCTGAAAATCATTAACAATTGCAAAACCTTACCAATTCCCTTATGACAATTATATGTAAAACTTTTCTTTGACAATAATAACGATTGTAAAGTTTTACGATCATTATTGATTGTCAAAGGAGAGTTTTACATGAAATTAGTTTTACAGTAAAACTATTTCTTTAGAGAATTTCGCACTTAATAGAGTTGAATAGTATATACAAGAAATTAAAAATAGTTTAACTTTATAATTAATTGTAATATATATATATATATATATATATATATATATATATATATATATATATATATATATATATATATATATATATATATATACATACATATATAACATGTACGTTTAACTAATTTTTAAATATTTTTTATAATATAATAAAATAAATTACAATATTTCGCTAATCTATTGTGGTCAGCATCATCAGTTAATATTAAAACGTTGCAAAATAACATAAAACAAACTGTTTAAAAAGAAGACATTAAAAAGCGTCAAATATAAAAAACAATTATATATATATAATAATGACGCCAGTTAAATTTTTGTCAAAATGGGTCCCCAAGTTTTTATTTTAACCTTATCCACGTCATCTCGATTTAGAACACCTTGCCGATATAAGGTATTGACCTTATTGACCTCGATATAAGGTATTGACCTTATTGACCTCGATATAAGGTATCGACCTTATATCAAACTCTTGCTTTGTTAATCTCGAGAGGTTCTATAATTTCTTATCTTGTATTCTGGAACAACTGCTAAGGTCTTTAGCCAATCAAAGTTACCACAGCATGTTCTAGAATGTTCTGTGGCTCCTGAACTTGACCATTTTTGATTTTTACAAGCTCTTTGGTGTTCTGTACTTCTTGAAACAATTTTCTTTTTGGTCTCTTCAATATATATATACTTTTTCAAATGAGCATTAAAGTTAAGTTAACTCCCAGATTTGAGTTTGGAGGTAGTTTTGTTTTGTTGTTGGATAATATTTTATTTAAATTGGGAGCTAAAGTAAATATAACTCTAATGTTTTGATATTATGCAAACAAATGTTTTACAAATCATAGTTATGGCCAAAAGCATCTGACCACTCAATATTTATAGCAAAAAAAAACTTTTTTTCCCCACATTTTCTTGAATCCATGTCTTCATAATTTTTTTCCTCATAGCATATTGTCATGTTGAGCATGAAAATATCATCCTTGGTATTTTAAAAACCATAACCAATTAGACGCATTAATTTTTAAAATTTTCAATTTTCAAGAACAAATACAGAAATTCCATTTGTATTTGACAGTTTTACCTTTGTATACAAAAATAACCAGCAGTTATTGTGCTTCAAATCATAATTTCTGAACATTGCTTAAAAAAAAGCAGCATGTTGGAAATTAAAGCTTCAAGTAAGTGGCTAGTGAATATTGAATTTGTGTGCTACTAATTGTTTTACTTGCACTTTGTCTGAAAATACGACTTATTGCTACATGCTAACAGTCTAACCCTTTTGTTTATGTTGTTGGATTTTAGAATAGTAATTTTTGGTCTTTTATCACATTTTTCTTAAATGATGCCACCTAGTAAATTGATGCTGTTTATTGATGGAAATTGTTTTATTCATCAGAATAAACTTACATAAAAAAATCCAATATTTAGTTATTATTTAAAAAATGAGAAGCAATTGCAGTTAAACTTTTTTTTTTAAGTTCATTTTTATTTTACATGACAAGGCTTCAACTACTTTTCAACACTTTTAATTCCAAAAAACAAACCCAGTTAAGAAAACATCACCTAAAAACATAACCCAGTTGCTTTTCATTGATTCAAATACAAAAAACAAATTTTGTTGCTGCTATAGAGAAAAACAAGTCAAGTGACATAATGTTAAATAATAGAATTGAATTTTCAATAAATGCTTTAATTTTAAGCTTATATTTTTAAACAAGCTATTTTTTGTTAAAATGTTTTTTGGGGCTCTCCATAAAGGATGTCACTATTTTTTAGGCAATTTTTGACCCCTTACCCCCTTTTGTCACCGGTTGTCCTTTTTTCTTATACCCCCTTTGAAAAGGATGTCATAAAATTGCCCCCCCCCATCATTATTTTCTAAAACATAATTCTTTCTTAATTTAAGCATTTTTGTTGAAATTTTTCACCTGACTTACATTTTTCTGTATTTTAGCGTTCTCTTCTAACATAATTGCAGCCATTTACTCTCTTTTGCACTTAGCGGTAATGCAAAGAGGTCTTATTCACAAAAAGACAATAACCATATGGTTAATAAAATTGGAATGAGTAATGCTGACATTCTTTTTATACACAATTTGGTAGACAAAGTACAAGATACAATGCTTACAGAATCTCTAAGATAGATTTGATTGCACAGAGAGATAAAACAGATCATAAAGAGGAATTTTGAGTGATTTCAATGATGGAGGAATGGTGCTCTGAATATTGGAGGTAGTAAAAAAAAGTACAGATGGAAAACGATTCTTGCTGGTGACGACTGAAATGACTACAGCTTTCAAGCCATCTTCTGACTGGTAGATTGAAATAGATAAAGGCGGAAATTGAAAGAAAATAGCATGGAAATAAGAGCTCCTTTTCAAAGAACAACATCCAGGATTCTCACATTTCACAATTTGCGTGAAATATTGGCTGGTGCGCACATGAGAGGCTAACCATTCCTGATCCTTCAATAAGAAATGACAAGCATCGAGCTCCCTCTTGCCGTCTGGATCGATATACTCAACGACTGTTGGAAACTGATCAATTATCAGACCTAAAAAGATCGAGGCACATATTTTTCTAACGAAATCAAAATTCTGTTTTCTCCAAAAGAAGATCTACTGTCCTACCTTAAATATAAGTTGCAATGCAGATAATTAATTCCTTAAGTCTTGCTATATATATTGTATTTTGATATAGAGTTGATATTAAAAATTTAACTTCCTTGAGAGTCTAAATGAATTCCATAATCATCATGAGGGATAATCATCCCTGAAGACGACCACTGGCTTAACCAAGTTGGTCAAAGGGTCTTTTGTAATGGAATTGAACTCTGGCAGTCTAAAGTCAAATCTGTGAGCATATGCTGTCGACGATGAATGCTTTTCAGATCAAACAGCAATATAAGTGGGACCAAAATAGGAAACTGCGTCAAATTTTCCAAGCCCACCTAGTTTGATTTCAATGCCTGCATAGAGAGATGGAATGAGTTAGTGTCTTGCGGCAATGAGCCAATCATGATCAGGAAGAAAAACTTGATATTCCATATGCATTAATATAGGAGCTTGTTTGTTAGCAGTGGTGATTTCAAATGGGATCTGAGCTATATTGTCTTGACTTATAAAGCAAACTTCCTTAGGGCCTAAAAAAAAGTGAGCAGCTTCCGCATTCCTAATAGTTGCTGTACAAAATGAATCATCCACTTTATAAAGTTATTTAAAAATTTTAAGTGAATAAATAAGGCTAAACAAGTATATATAGGCCTAATATAGTCCGTTATTAAAACTAAAATAAAAAAAAAAAAGAATTCTATAACATGATGTCCTTTTCTGATGGCCCAACTCCCCCTTGTCCTTTTTTGTTCTTTTTATCTTGATCTCCTCCTCTCCTCCTATTAGCATGACGTCCTTTATGGATGGCCCTTTTTTTGAAATTTAAACTTAGCTCTAAAAAATTTATTATATACTAAAATATTTTAAAATCAAGAACCATATTATCTAAAAAAACAATTCAAGGAATTGAATTTTTTTTTCTAGATAACAGAGTTTAAAGTACATTTTACTGCAAGTGCATGTTTAAAAATTTAATATTATATAACCTTATAAAACATAAAACAGGAAAATACAAAGTTTAAAAAGCAAACTTTTACCTAGAGCTTTTTTCCCATTAAATAATTTGATAATACTAAATATAAATCTAACTTACTGTCTCAGCAGTTGGTTTCTTATTGAAACTTTCAATTTGTTGACCAAATGCTAAAATCTTCTCCTTAACATTGATGCCTTGAGAACTACATTTAGCCATCTTGCATAAACAAATGTACACAAATAAAAAGCATTGAACTTTTATTATTGAAAAAAATATTTAGTATTTAATTCTCATAAAGTTAACAAAAATGAGATATACTAAAAGTATAAATATCTTACCTCACTTTTAATTTTCAACTGAATACCTCTCAAACTGCACTTTGTCTTCTCCACAAAAGAAACATCAGCAAAATGATAGCTAAATCTAGAAAAAAAAAAAATTCAAAAATCTTTTCTGTAACTTTTGAAAGTTTTGAACTTTTATTTCCATTTTTAGTTAATATGAATTAAGATGTTGGAATTAATTTAGCTATTGAAGATAGTACATGTAACAATGTGAATCATAAATTGTAACCTGTTTAAATTACTCTGCTTTACTACATTTTAAATTTAAACATTATAAACCTTTCTTGAAAACATTGAGCAAATTCTTTGGCAAACCCTTCTCTCCTTTGTTCCAATAAATCTAATTTTTTTATCACTTTACTCTCTGATAAATTCATTTTACGAACCATTTTTGCCTGAAAATAAAATTTTCTATTTAAATATTTCCCAATAGAATCATAAAAAAGTTGTAATAGACTTAGACTTAGTTGTAATAGACTTGAAAAGTTGTAACAGACTTGATCTTAATTGTAATAGACTTACTAATTTCTTTTTTAATGCCACAGTTTCATCATAGGAAAAGTTTCCACCTTCGGAAAATAAGCTAATGAAAAATAAATAAATTTGTTATAATTATTATATTACAGTCACTTTTTTTAAAAAATACAAGTTAAAAAAACCTGCAATATAGCTATATAAATGGTGGCATTCCATTGCCATTTTTAAAATAAAAACAATATTGTATAATTAAAAAAAAAAAGTATGTAGAAGCAGTTTTGTAAATATGGAGAAAACAAATAAACACATGCAGAGAGAGCTTCAGGTTTAGTACTATTTTGCACAACATACTAGTAAAATGAAAAGGTTTCATTATACAACTTTTAGCTCAATTATTGATAATTTTTTTACTTTTAATTTTCAATTTAACATTTCAATAATATGTACTACTAAGACCATGCTCAGCCCTTCATCAGTTTTGATTTTATTTCTTAAGTAATTAATGATTAAATATTCTTTTTTAACATATGGCAAATTAAAACTTAAAAACTATATTTTACCTTACCTCTTTTTAACATAATATTATTCTAATAATTAATGTAATAATCCCCTTTACTTTTTTAAAAAACTGTGGTTTCAATCACAATGCTTAATATTAGCTATTTATAAGTTATATCTCATAAAAATGATTGTTTTTTCATTTACCTTAAATAAGTGCTTAATTTTTATTTGCACGTTTTTAATGATTTCATTATAATAGGCAACTTTAATTTAGAACAATTATAATTCAATAAATGAATTACTAACTGATCTGAATTACTAATTAACCAATGCAGTGATTTAATATATTTACTAACATGTTTTATATTGGTTATTAAGCTTTCCGTATCATTTTAACAAACAGAAAGTTTTGTTTTTTGCATACAAATACTGTTTGTACAGGTTATGGTACTCAACATTTTTTTTATTTTACTGAAGAAAAGGTAGGAATAGTTGTATAATAGAGATATTATTGGTTTCATGGTTATGGATCTTTCAAAAGCTTACAACCTGATTTCTATTAAAAACTTACGGTTATTCTCTTAATTTTCTTAAAAGTCTTAAATTTCTTAAATATTTAAGTGATCATAAACAAATCATTAAACTGAGTTTATCATTTTCTAAATGGTTAGGAGTTTTAATGACAGTACCTCAAGGATTAATTCTTGAGCCAATATTCTATAATACTATTATAAACCAACTTTTTTCGATTTAATAAAGGCTTTGAGACTTACAATTTTGCTTACGATTATACTTCCAATATTTTTGTGATAAGATCTTGTAAGATTGATAATTATATTTTTTTTCATTGCAAAATAAAACACTAAATGAAACTGAAGTTTAAATTTAATTTTATGATCATAAGTTCCAAAAAATTTCAAGTATTTATAGTTGGTCAAAAATATTCAAATAACCAATTTTTAATAAGTTGTATCTCATAAAAATGATTGTTTTTTCATTTACCTTAGATAGGTTTATGAGGATGAGATTTTTGCTTTGGATAAAGTTAAACTATTTGGTGGTTACATATAATAAGGATTTAAAATTTAGTGATCACATCAAAGCTCTATGTGGAAAAGGTAATAGAAGTACTTTGCACCTTCTAGTATAAAAATTTGTTTATTTTATATACAAGCTACTTAATTACCTAATGTATATTGTCTAACTTTTTATACCTTTGATTTTTTGTTCAAAATTGATGTTTTGTTCAAAATAAAATAACAGCCTCATAAATAAAATTCATAAAACAGCATTCCAAATATTCCATTAGAGATTTGATTTGTCTTTAAATAAAATGTTAAAATTAGACAATAACCCAAGAATCCATCTCTAACCAAAGCAGCACCCAAGAATCTCCAAAACTTGTGGTTTCTAATGACTGAAGTTTTTAAATACCTTAATGGTTTAAATCCTGAAATTAAAAAAGAATTTATTTATAAAGAAAAATTTACCATTTCAACTTAGATGTTGCAATAAATAAAACAAGTTGAAAAGTATTAAATTTTTTTTAAGATACTAATGTTTGAGAGTTTGAGATACAAATGCATTTCTTTTCTATTTTGTCCATGAAGTTAACTAATAATTATCAACTAATAATTATCAACATACATGTTATCTTATAACTTTTTAAAATGATAAGTTTATAATTTTGGTCAAGTCAACCAAATTTTTTTTAGTTGGTTCATATAAACTAGATGCATCAAATCACTCTTTGTTTAAAAGTTAGTGTAAATGTGTCAGCGTATTTTTATACTGTAGATAAAATCAAATATTGCATAGTAACTAATTTTTTATTTTTGAAAGATAAAAAAAAAAAAAAAAAAATCATTAATGTTTATTTGAAATTTTAAAACAAAAGATAATGCACATATTAAATGCCTGTAATAACAAACGTCAAGCATGCAACACATCTTGCAAACATGCAACACATCTTGAATTCTTATTTAAAGAAAACTTAGTTTCTAGGACATTGTACCAGTATCAACCATACTGGATGGCATAAACATTATCTAGGGTTGTAGACCAAGGATACATAAAATAATAAAAATTACATATTTTTAAATCTATTTTTAAAATACCTCTATACAATTAATTATTTCACAAAACCTAATTTGGTCAACTTCATTTTTTAAAAAGAACTTTTAATTTATATCGCCAAGGCATTTGTTGCACATTTATGATTCAAGACAAACACAACAAAAACATAAAAAAATACAAAGGGCATGATCTAAAAAATAAAAATAAAAAATAAAAAGCCTCAACATGACATCTCCAATATATATAGCTGATCAACCACATATATAATAATAAACTAAGAACATCATATCAAGATTTAAGATTCACACATGACACAATTTATATATTTTTTAAGTTCAAAAAAATTTTTGGTATAATTTTATATTTAACTTTTATTATAAAGTACTCTTAGGATACATAGGATAGATTTTTCCCAAACTCTTATGCAACTAATTGTTCATTCTCAACTGTGTTTGAATAAGAAATTCTGGATTATCTAAAATATTTGCTAGCAATATGTAGCAAACATTTAAAAATAAATAGATAAAGAGTGTGGATTTGCAGATATATATCCAGCTGATTAGATTGTTTACTGAAAGTAATTATAAAATAACTTTTATTTTTAGGAAATAATCTACACATACTTAAAGCAGGATAAGCTTTTTAGCCGTGGTAAAAAAACTTATCTTGAAGAAAGAAAACTTGAAATAAAACCACAAAATTAATTGTGGCTAATAGAAGGAGGAGCAAATATAGCTTGGATGGTAATCTTTTTAGTGATACCACAATAAATAATATTTAGTCTTGATCTGCAAAATAGTTTGACACTAGGAAAGACATTCACTTATAAAAGACTCCTTTAACTCTTACATGCCAAGTTTAAGTAAGAAAATGGAATTATGGGAACTTGTTTAAATTACATAAATGTGGAACCACGGATGTATAATATTTAGTCATTGTGATAAAGTGTCATGTGCAGAGCATTTTATGTACACAAAGAGCGACTTTATGTTACACTACACTATTTATAATAAGCTAAAAGAGCTTTATAATTTGGAATAATATATAAAAAACTCTACAGATATTTTTAAGTGGTATTTTAATGAAGTAATTAACGTTTATTTTAAAGGTAACTCAATGAAGTAGTTAACATTTTAAAAACCACAAACCGTTGTTACAAAAGTTTAAATTACAAATATATAAAACATTTGTAAATTAAACTTTTAAAAAATACAGATTAAGAAAATTTTTTTTAAAAAATTTCTTAATCTGTATTTATTATATTTAAAAATAATGCTCATTATTTTTAAATATAATAAATACAGATTAAGAAATTTTTTTATATAAAACTAACTTTTTTATAAAAATATTAAAATAATCAAAATATTCAGCTGCAGAAGAAAAACTTGCCTATTGCTTAAAAGCAATGTTAATAAACGAAAATTAAAAACAAAAAAAAAACCTAAGAAAAATAATCTAGCAAGCATGTTTATTTCAACTAATATTACTTTAAAAATCTTTCCTTTTAACTAACTTAACTTGACTCTTGAAAATTTTGTTGTTTTCTATATTATGATTGATTTTATCACTTGACACCTGATTTATTTTATAATTTTAGTGTGACTATTATAATTTATTGTTCAATTAGCAAATTTTTTTTTGCCAGAATTATCTATTCTTTAAACTTATAAGGCATTATCATTTTCCCACCTTTTTATTTGAAAACCCTTATAAACATTAAAAATATAAAGTTTTATTAACACATTTTGAGAACAAAAAAAAAAAAAAAAAAAAAAAAAAAAGAATCATTTTGTGAAATAAAAAATTGTAATTTTACATAAAAATAAATACTTTTTACTTTATTACTCACTGACATTTCAGAAATAAAAAAAATTGTTATTTGCAAAATTGTAAATACGTATTCAAGAAATAAAACAAAATCTTTTTTATTAACTTAATTTTAGACAAAGGATGATTGCCTCAAATGTTGTGAAAATAAACAAATATTTTTACATAAAAAAAAAGCCGCAAACCAAGTAAACATTTGATAACACTATTACTTATAACATTTCTACATCCTTTTGAGTTGATTGTTCAATTGAGCTATTTTAGAATAATTTAGTAAGTTGTGGTTGTTTAAAAAAATCAATTTCAATAAATATGAAAAACAAATAAAAATAATTTTATGTGAAAAATTCTTTTTATTTTTACTCAAAATTCTGTTAAGCAAATCCCTTAAACATTTTTTATTCATCATAAGTCCTGAACATAAAAAATGAAACAATAAAATAATCTAAACTTGATAAGAATCACTGAACGAAGTAAAGAGAGTGAAAACTTTGCAAGACTAAGGTCTAGACTCCAACCTTACCTAAAATAAATCTTGTGAATTAAAATAAGAATATACACTTATTTTAAATTAATAAAGATTAGTGGTATCTTCTGATTTTTTAGTTATTTTAGAAGATATTTTCTTTTTAGATCTTAGAAGAAGTTTTAAATTTCAAATGCTTTTGAGAGTGCAACTTATTACAGAGTTTTTTTTTTTTTTTGATGTTGAGGTTTAGTTGTTAAGCAACCATGGCATAGTGGTTAGAATGTTAGACTCTAACCACTTTTGTTTAAACAATGAAACTAATTGTAGATAAATAATGGAACTAAATTAACATAAATAATAATAATAACTAAAAAAAAAATTTGGATAAATAAACAAAACTTTATAAATAGTGGAATAAAGTTAAGCTAAATAGTGGACTAAAGGAAACCTAATAACACTCACCGCATGGAATTGCAGAATTCAGTGTTTGCACTTCTTGACTTGTTTAAGATATTAATGCATTCAGTTCGCAGTTCTGAGATAGATTTACTAATTATTTGTGAAACCTATATACATATATATACATACATACATATATATATATATATATATATATATATATATATATATATATATATATATATATATATATATATATATATATATATATATATATATATATATATATATATATATATATATATATATATATATAAGTATATATATATATGTATATATATATATATATATATATATATATATATATATATATATATATATATGTATATGTATGTATGTATGTATGTATGTATGTATGTATGTATGTATGTATGTATGTATGTATGTATGTATGTATGTATGTATGTATGTATGTATATATATATATATATATATATATATATTATATATATATATAAGAAAGAGAATGAGAAAAAAACAGATGAAGGCAACTAACTTTTTTCTTTTTCTTTTTAAAAATAAAGACTACTTTACAGAAAAAAAAAGTATTCAATACTAGAGACTGAGGAGGGGGGTAATTTAAAAAATTCTTAAACATAAGTAAGTAATGAAATTTTAAATTATAAATAATGATGTTTTAATGATAATTAAAAAACTGAGATTACCAAAATGATAAAAATGATAAACAATAAAAATCTAAATAATAATAACACAACAATTATAATAATAAAAATAAATCACCTGGTTTAAGCGCTCTATGCATTTCACTTGAACCTGATTAAATCTGAAAAAAATTATACTTTTATAAATTATACATGCATGCATGCATGTATTGCAATGTATGTATGTATGTATGTATGTATGTATGTATGTATGTATGTATGTATGTATGTATGTATGTATGTATGTATGTATGTATGTATGTATACAACCCTCGGAATTAAGGTCAGCATTCAGCAATGCTGACCTAACTGCCGACCTGAAAGTGTTTGAGGTCAACAAAAAATTGTCGACCTCATTTCTATGTTTTATTGTCAGACCTTTGTATCAAATAATTTTTGCCAACCTGATGCTGACCTCAAAAGGACTGAGGTCGGCAAACTATTGACCTCATTTTCCCTAATTCCGAGGGTTGATATATATATATAAATATATATATATATATATATATATATATATATATATATATATATATATACAGGCCTTGTTTTAAATAAAAAGGTGCTTAACGCATTAGCTTAACGCGATATTTGACGTCATAAAATTATCTTTATTTTTTTTTATAGACGTTAAGTGTTTTAACTACCGCAATAAATAAATAACTGCTAACTAGTTCAATTTAACAATTAACTCAAATAACTATAAACGTTTTAAATGTAAATTTATAATAAAAAGTTTGTAATGTTTTCAATTGTTATTTTATTATTAATTTATTTATAAGTTCAATATTATTTAGTAAAATATATATATATATATATATATATATATATATATATATATATATATATATATATATATATATATATATATATATATATATATATATATATATATACATATATATATATATATATATATATATATATATATATATATATATATATATATATATATATATATATATATATATATATATATTAACCATTTCTGAAATTTATTTTTGAATAATTATTGTTTATAAAGCGTTATTGAATAAAAAATAATGATTTTTTTTTATTTTTAAAAATTTCTGGAGTAAACAAAAAATATTAACATTGATAAACAAAAAACTATGTTAATTATTTAAACAGCGATTTTGTTTTGACTAGCAAATCACAAAGAAACAGAGCTATAGAGAAATATCATTTTTAACGATTAAAATCTTTTTTTTTTAAATTTAAGGAAATTAAAAAAAAATTAAATTAAATATAAAAGTCTTAATTATGCAAACTCTTTTGTTAATTATTCTTAAAACAAAAAACAAATACTTCTCCGCAAAACTTTAATTGTGCAAAGTATTTTCATTCTACGTATAATTACAAAAAAAAAAACTCTTTTTTTTCTTCGTTTGTAAGCAATTCAACTTAATAAAATAATAAAAAAATAAATATGAGGTAATCTTTGTTAAGAACAAATTTAATTTATTTATTAAACTATATTTTTATTTTTATTTATATATCAACTTAATTAAAATATAGTAACATGTTAAAATATTTTAACATGACTTGTGTTATTTATAAACCGTAGGGCAGCTGCCCTTACGGCACAATTGTTTTAGGATAATATTTTATTTTGATGAAGATCACATAACTTACATTTGATTTTAATAACGCAAGTCTTCTCTTTTTCTGTGATCATCGCATCGGCAAAGCATCGGCAAAGTCCCAAAATTTAAAAGTTTTTAAAGGAAATCTTTTGTCTTTCAAAATACAATCCATATTCAAACTTTAAACAATTTAGAGAGAATAAAAATATAAAAGTTTTTTATATACTAGTTTGTCTTGTTTTATAAAGAAAAATACATATTCATTATTAAAAAATAGAGACTGCCATTAAACTAAAACGTGCGTATTTAACGGAATCTGTAATGTGCGCGTGAATAATGAAACCTCTATTATATAAATATATTCAACATATTTGTGTCATCAGCGGATGTTATAGTCTACTCGTGATTTCTTTACCTTATAATATAACTTGATCTATGAAAAAAATTTATTGAATAGTACGCAGAAGAAATTTAACAAATTGTTTTCATTCAAAAATTGCGAGTAACAGGTAATTTTTCTTTCTGTGCTGGCCCCCTCCCCCCGCATAACTTAAAAGCAAAGGTATCTATATACCTTTAACTAATAAGAAAAGCAAAGAGTAATAATTGATGAAATAATTTTTAGAAAAATACAAATAGATTGTTCATTCATTGGCACATTTTTTTTAATATCTTGAAAAAATATTTTTGTTATCATGATAACAAAAATATTAAGACGTTTTTTTAATTATATAAAAAAATGTCAACCCTTAATTACAAACTTTTTGCAAATGTTTTTTAATATGAATTTAGTAAAAAACTCTTAAAAAATCTATATTACAAAAAACTTATATTCTGTATTAATAAGTTTGGAAAAAAATCTATATTACAAAAATTTATATTCTGTATTAATAAGTTTGGAATATAGATTTTTTAAAAGTTTTTTACTGAAAACTTTAAAAAGTTACTACTTTTTATTAAAAACATTTGCAAAAAGTTTGTAGTTAAGGATTGACGAACAATTTTTCATGTTACTAAATATTTGAATAAAAAGTTTAGCATAAAATTAAATGTTATAAAAACGTATGATATATCGCGACGAAAAGTTACTTCAATTATTTTTAACGTAACTTCTTTTTTCTCATAAATACTTTTACATATCGTTCATATTCAAAAGTTAATGTGGTTTTTTTAAAAATTAATTACTTCTTTTATGTTACCGCTAATTTAAAAGTTAAAAAATGATAAAAAGTAGCTTAACCAAAACAGCTCTACGCCTACGTAAAAATCGCTTAAGGCGTACATAAATCGCTCTAGGCGTAACGCTTTAAAACAAGCCCTGTATATATATATATATATATATATATATATATATATATATATATATATATAGATATATATATATATATATAGATATATATATATATATATACATATATATATATATATATATATATATATATATATATATATATATATATATATATATATATATATATATATATATATATATATATATATATATATATATATATATATATATACCTAAACAATATAAGAGTTTAATAATAATAATAATAACAATAAAAAAACAAAAATAATAATACAATTTAAAAAATTTTAAAAACTAATTACTCATTTATATGAGCCACTTTGCTTAAAGATTCTTCTAGGTTATCCATTGAAGATAAAAAAAGATCTCTCTATAAAAGTAACATTAAGATTTTAAAAAGGTTTGGTAATATTCAGAAGCATCAGACTGTCCTACATATTTTAGCATAACATTATTCCTCTCGGTTTTAACAGAATTGATTTTATGTAAATTCTTAATAAAAATAATATTCTGCAAAAGACAAAGAAAAAAACTTAATTCTTCCAAATAAGGTAATTTGCTAAAACAACTTTGTACAATAAATTGTTTCTAGATATATACAAGATAGCATTTTTGCAACTTTAAAAAAAGGTAATTTATAAGTCATATAGCAAATAAAAAACTTAATGGGAATAAAAAGGCTTCATTAAGCACAAAAGAAAAAATGAAAATAAAAGTTAAACATCAATTTTTTTCCAGAGCTGGATTATTTGATACAGTTTTAAAATAAAATCAAGACAATTTTAACTAAAAAAAACTAAAAGTGTTTAACTATCTAATCTAAAATCAATTCCTTTAATCAATGAGTTGTGGAAAAAACGTATATTTTGCACATATATCGTCTCAATTTAAGATACAGAAAATTTGTTTAACATTTACAGCTGGATAAAAATGGTAGGTTATTTCTGATCTCATAGTATAATTTTATATGTTTATTTTAAACATCTTCATTTAATATCACTGCAAACATAAAAAGGTTTGTCACATGCAAAGTTATCTTTATTGCAAAAAATTCTCCACCGTTGAAAAATTAAATAAGTGTTTTTCATAATACCACGTTTAAATCTATATTTATAGCAAAAAATATACATAATTATATGATTAAATATGTTAAATTGTTTGAACTATAAAACCTTTTTTTCAATAATTAATTTAGTTTTTAATTTAAATTAAACAAATCACTTCATAAATGTAATGTGATGTGCTCATTTTGTCAAATATCTTTAAAAAATGTTTTTAACAATGTCAACAATTGTAGAAATTTTCAGTTTGTATCCGTAATGCAAAACAAAGATTTTTTGGTGCTTATAACTTCAGGGTATATGCTAAATGTTTGTATTTTTATATTAGTATCAATTGTGTATATTATACACATTTTTCAAATAAAATCCTAAGCATTTTCCAAATAACATCCTAATTATTTGTCAAACCTTGCTTTTAAATCTATGATTTTTTTTTAACTGGTCAAACATGACTGGCAAGAGTTCATTTTGGGTTAAAATAGCATTTTTAGTCATTTCAGGCGGTTATTGACCGGCCATTATTTTCCATGCTTTATATATATATATATATATATATATATATATATATATATATATATATACATATATATTTGTCAGGTCAGGTTATTCTGCTATTGGTAACATGTAACCCAGTACAATCTGCTTCATGTCCTGCTGTCTTGTAAGATACGGTTTTTTAGGCAAAGACTAGGAGATGCAAACTCCAACATAAAATACCCCCTGCCTTGGTTGAGTAAAAGCTAGAGATGGTGTCTCGATAAAAATACTCATCTTGGGCAGATGTTAAATGCATCTGGCTGCTGTCTTGTAGAAGGCCTCCTAGGGACCATCTTGTTGACCAGCCTTGAACCCCTTCTTTATCTATTAGGCTGGCACAAATGTATTTCTATTACATTGTTTCCAGTTTAAGATGTTGAATGTTGGATCTTCTTGACTCAATGCATGGGTTTTGCAATTTGCAATTCCAGGTCAAGCCTCACTCTTCATGGCTTTCCTCACATTGTGCTGCTGCAATTGCCAATCGAAACAATTACTTCCATATCTATAAGCAAAACAATTCTCCAGAAAAAAAGATGCCTGTTTGCTATGACGCCAAAGTTTGCTATTCTCAGGTCATGAAATCTCGTATTTCATCACAAAAATTAGGTTCTCATGACTTCTGGAGAATCTTTAATAGTAACAATAATATAAGCAAGTCTGTAATTCCACCTCTTTTGCATAGTTTAGACTTTGTCACCTCACCTGAATACAAAGCTGAATTGTTTGCTAAGAACTTTTCATCAATATCATCCCTTGATTCCACTAGTTGCGTTCTACCTGATATAGCTGTCAAACAGGTTGATCCATTGCTCGACATCTGTATCACTCCAGCTTCTGTATCTAAAGTGATTTCCTGCTTAGACTCTTCTACAGCTTGTGGCCAAGACAACATACCTGTTATAGTCTTGCAGAAGTGTTTTCCTGAGCTGTCATCTATCCTTTCAAAACTATTTAACAAGTGCTTATCAGAGTCTTGTTTTCCAGCCTGCTGGAAAGCAGCATCTGTTATCCCTGTTTTTGAAAATTCTGGAGAGCGATCTGATTCGTCTAACTACCGTCCCATTAGTCTTCTTCCTATCATTGGGAAGGTTTTTGAACCTTTAATTAACAAACACCTAATCTCTCATCTTGAATCTAATAACTTACTTTCTGATCATCAATATGGATTTCGATCTTCTCATTCGATGGCTGATTTGCTAACAGTAATAACCTATAGGTTTTATCACGCATTAGATAAAAGTGGAGAGTGTAAGGCAATCGCCCTTGACATTTCTAAAGCTTTTTATAAAGTTTGGCATGCTGGTCTTCTCCATAAACTTTCTTCTTACGGTTTATCTGGAAACATCTTTAAAATTATCAAATCCTTCCTTTCCAATCGTAGTATAAAAGTTGTCCTTGATGGACAGCACTCTTCTTCTTATTCTGTAACCTCAGGGGTTCCCTAAGGTTCAATCCTTGGCCATATAAACTTTTTAATTTACATTAACCATCTTCCAGATATTCTCACATCTAAGGTGGCATTGTTCACTGATGATACTACCATTTATTCTTGTCACGATAAGAAGCCAACTTCCTCTGATTGCTTGCAGGGGACATCTGAGCTTGAAAAGCTCAGATGTCCCCTGAGAAAAAAATCTCACTTCTGCTACAGCATGGGGCTCACAGTGGCTGGTGAACTAAAACTCAATTTTTTCAGCCAATCATTATTGCAATAATTTAGACCTTCCTATATTTATGAACGGTAATGTGCTCGATTGGTCATCTACTCTTTATCTTCTTGGATTGACTCTTACTTTTGATTTTGGAAACCATATATCTAATCCGTTGCAAAATTAGCTCGATACTTTCTTACTCTGGATTCTATTCTCTATCTCCATAAATCTCAAATCTGGCCTTGTATGAAATACTGTTGCCATATCTGGGGGAGGGGGGATCTTCTAATGATGACCTGCTCTTGCAGCCAACCTTCAACCTTTGTCACATCATCGTAATGTTGCTTCTCTTTCTCTTTTCTACAAATACTATAATGGGCACTGCTCTAAAGAGCAAGTATCTCTTGTGCCTTCTACTAAAATTCATTCTTGTGTTACTTGTCATTCAATTAAGTCTCATCCTTTTTCTGTGACTGTTTTTAAGTGCTCCAAAAACTGTTACTGCTCTAGTTTTTTCCCTCGAACATCAGTTTTTTGGAATTTGCTTCCTTCATCTTATTTACCTGATTCATATAATTTGCAATCTTTTAAGTCGTTTGTCAATCGTTATCTTGCTCTACAATCTTCATCTTTTCTCTTCCAGTAACTTCCTACTCTAATTAGTGGTTGCTTGCAGACTTGTTGGAAGCAAAGATGTTTAAAAAAAAATATATATATATATATACATATTATTTTTTAAATGCAGTAATTTGAGGTTTGTAACAAAAAACTCAATTAATGTAAAGTTTAAAAGAACTCAATTAATGTAAATTTAGCTAACTATTGATATCTCAACTAACAACCAAACAAATTATTGATATCTTCACCATCAATCAAACTAACACTTTAAATAATGTTTATACAAAATTTCAAAAAAATATCTACTTCCTTGTATTCTTTTAAATCAAAGAAAAGAAATAAATGAAACATATATGCAATTTTGTATGCATTAATTTATTTTGTATGTAGGAGCTTTTAAAATAAAGGAAAGAAAAGAAATAAAATTAAAAAAATATATGCAGTTTCATATGTAGTAATTTGTTGCAACTTACTTGCATTTAAATTTTGTAACAAAAAACTAAATAGTTGCAATTTTTAATTCCATAAGTATTTTAAAATGTTTAATACTTTTAATTGGTAAATATTTCAAAAATAAGAGTATAATAAATTTTAATTAATTTTTTTTGAATACATTTTGCACAAAATTTGTCTTTATCTTTATATTTATAGATTAAAAGTTACTCTTTACCTGCTTTTTAGGATTGTAAAGAACCTCCTGAACTTTTCTCTTTACTAATGCAATAGATTCAATCACTGCTGTGTTGTGTTCAGAAACTCTTGCTGAATGTGCAGAAAGTTCAGCTAAAAATATTTAAAAATAATTAAAAAAATTAAAATCTTGGGGTAAAAAACTTATTATCCAATTTAGTACACTATGTTTTTTCTATTAAGCATCAGGTTTTTTTTTGTGTTCTTTCTGAAGTTCGGTATGATATGGTACAAAATGATAATCGTAAAACTAAAACCAGAAAAGTTTTAGTTATTACAAAACAAAATAAAACGTGTTTTGTATCAGTTTTCTTGAAACAATATTTTTTACTGTTTCATACCTTGCCATTTTTTTGAGATGCAGATGCTTTCTTTTAATATTCAATAGACTTTTGGCTGGGTTTTACCTTATCAACTATTGACCTTTTATTTGGCTGGGTTATACTGACTCAACTGTCGAACCTTGGTGCTTTCTTGCTTTATTGAAAAACATAGGCATAGAGACAACTTTTTTTACAACTTTATCTTCTATAAAATTGCTTTAAATTAATTTAAAGCATAGTAATATATATTTTGACATTTCTTCATAGTTAAAAATGCAAAATTTTTTTTTTTTACAAAATTTAGGCTAAGAAATATGTTATCTAACAAACATCATATAATAAAGCAGAAAAAAGTTTTTGCTACTAAAATTAGTCTCAACAGCATTCTTAACATTATCATTATAGAAATGTTCAAATCTGCAACCTGCAATACATCTGCAACACATCTGAAATAAATCTGCAATACATTTGTAACACATCTGTAATGCATCTTTATCAATATGCAACTTTACTTAGGTTATTTTAAATTTCAGCGCAATGAATCACCTGTATGGAAAGGTTATGCTGTTTGAGGTAAAATTGACAGAATATAAATCATTCAGTACTTACTGAAAAGAAAAGCTTAGCTTTTCTTTAAAACTTTAGAAATATTCGGATTTAAATAGCATTAGTTATTAATATATCAATCAGATATTTTAAAATAATGTAAAAACACTGTAAAAGTCACACAATTAAACAAAACAAACAAAAAAAAAGCTTTTTCTTCTAATTGTTTTTAAAGAAGTTTAAAATGTACCATCCATAGTATCAAATATAAATAACATAGATGATCTGTAACTCTACAACTAGTAATTCTGAAACTAAGCTGTCAGAAACTGCTGAAATTGTTTACTCAAATTTATATGATATTGTAAGGAAAAACTGTAAAGTTTGTAAAGTAAGGAAAATAAAGATAAAATAATTTATAGTTCCGTTGGGTTAGCCAAAATTTAGCTTTATGATAATTGGTGTCTTCTTTATGCAATGTATCATATTTTTAATTTTTATATACACCTACATTGTTCTGGGTTTCAAAAATTTTTGAAAAAATAATTATGTTAAAATAATTTGAATTTGAACCCCATGAGTGAATTGTATAATTTAATAAAAAATCTTTAATAATAAAAAAAAAAAAAAATCACTTAGTTTGAACTAATAGTTTAATATTAGATATTCTTTATAATTTTTATTTAAAATGATAATAACAAGAATAAACAATAAAGTGATTTCTTTTTGCACTAAATTTAAACCATTATTTATACAGCTTAGATTACCCATTGCCTTTTTAAATTTTAATAAATCATAAATGTTATGCTTTCTAACACAAATTACCTGTACGAACATCATGTATATCTTTTTTACAATTATTTTGTCTAGGATTATGAAGCTGCAGCCTGAACTCAAGTTCATTGTCTATTTCAAGTATCTAAAATAATTTACAAATCTAAAATAATTGTATTTAGAATCAAAAAGTTTTAAATTCTAAAAATCTCAAAATTAACCTTCTCATTCATATGAAGAAGAGCATGATCTTTTGAATTTTCTTTAAGATTTTTTAGGTTTTCCATAAATTTAGTAAAAAACCTTTAAAAAAATTATTGAATAATAATAACTTAAAATAAATTAAACTTCAAAACTAAATTAAAAAAATTAAAACTGTTTACTTATTTAAATTAATATAATGATAAATTAAAAAAAAAAAAAATACTTTTGCTTAAGTATTGATAAATAATACTGTGTTCACCTCTTGAAAGGTTAGACATTCACTGCAGTCAAGAAGGCTACATAAGTTACTACATAAGTTAGACATTCACTGCAGTCAAGAACTAAAACTATTTTTATGATTCTCTCTCAAAACTTTAATTCCAAAATATTTAATGAACATGGTCAAACCTCCTTAACTGAAGCTTTTTATGTCATCTGTAAAGCATTTTTTATGCGATTTCCAAATTCTACTTATTTTTCTCCTGAAAATGCCAACTCTCTGAACATGCTGATTATCCGCTCATCTGCAACTTTACACTCTACATGCCTAAAACATATAAATCTTCTTTGAGGCATTCTATCAGATACACCCACTATTCCCATACACTAATATCATTGATTTATCATTGATTTAGTGTAATATCATTGATCTATTTCTTATCTTTTAGAATCACACATTCATCTGGTCATCTTCACTGTCCTTTCAAGACACTGGACATTATCAACCTTATTAAACCTTCATTTTAATCATACATACATACTTCCTTTTAATAATACACCTTCTGCTGTTAAAAGTAGAAATTTTCTAAATTTGGACCAAGCACACCTTAATCTTGCACTTAACGCAAGATCAAGGTGTACTTGAAATGTTGAGCCTTCAACATTTTAGCCAACACACTAGAGGAACCAGCCTAACTGAGCCCTACAAACTTCTGATTTAATTCCACTCATTTCATTTCATTTATTCACTGTAATAAAACCTCTTTATTTTAAAGTTTTCATTTAGTAATTTATTGTAATAATTAATACAACCTAAACAACAATTGTAGTTTACATATTCATTTGCTTTTAACTCTAAATATTCTTAATAATTAATAACTCTTTAACTTTCTATTGTTCTATAAATCTAGATTAATACCAAATTTTCTTCATCCAATTGAGCTTTGTATACAGCATACTTACATTTGTCTTAATTAAGCAAAAAGAGACGCCATCTTCATTCTAAGACTTAAAACTTTAAAAAACTTACTTATTTCTTCTATATCTTTACTGATTGCTGCAATCCACTAGAATTATTGTTTATGTCTCTGATTATTTTTTTATTACTTCAAGAAATCTTTTCTTTATATGCTTTCTATATTTCTTTCTAATCTGATTTCTGCTCTTGATTTAACTTTCTTCTCAAAATAATACCGAGTTTTAACTTCTTCTTAAAAAAGATCTAGATCTTTAAATCCCCTTTTCAAAATGATTTCATACTTCATCTTCTTCAATATGGTTTCACACATCATCTTTTCAAATTGATTTTGTCCTTCATCTTCTTCAAAAACGCTAAAGTGTTATACTTCCTTTTTTACATCTACAAAAATTACTATTGTTTCTTTTAATTCTGTGAAATACAAACTTTACTTGGTACATACAGAGTTTAAAGTAAAATGGGGTATTTTATCTATATATATTGGTAAATATACTTTAAAGTATATTTACCAATATACATTGATCATTCAAATTTCATTCTGATCATTAAAAAATTGAGATATCAATCTGAGATTTCTGATATCTGATCAGAAGGTGATAAAAAATCATTCTGATACTTTAGCTTTTATTTTAGGTAGAGTCCTTGGAGAGTCTTCAACGATGGCGGGCGTAATTTTATAATGGAAAGATAAAGAAAAAAAAAAAAGAAAAAAGAAATTTAAACAAAAATTTTAGTAACTAAACAACAAATCTAATCAGTAAAAAAAGTAAAAATTTTACAAAGAAAGAAATTAAATTTAACGAAAAAAGAAATAATAATAGTTAAGTGCATATAAATTTAAAAAAAAATGTCAAAAAAAAGTCCAAATAAATAGAAGAAGGAGAGAGTTTACGTCATATAAACTTTAAAAAGAATAGACAAAAAAAAAAAAAAAAAAAAAATTCGAATTTTTATTCACCTAAATTTAACTAAAAGAAAAGATAAAAATTAAAAAAGAAAAGAAAAAGATAAGAAAAAGAAAAAAAGAGGAAACCAACAAAAAAGTGGAAGAGAAGAAAAAAAAGATCAAGTTTTAGAAGATATTTTTGTAGCTAGTCTTTGTTTTAATTATCATTTTTTTATTTTATTTTAATTATGCAAAATAATTAATGTTACCATTAATTATATTTATTAAATATTATATTTGTTAAATATTATCATTTTGTGCATGCATTTCGTTTTGTAGTTTTTGTGTTTTTTTTTTTGTTTGTGTAAAGTTTGTTATTATTTGTGCAAATTATTTTTATTGTTGATTCCTATTTTTCTATTTTACCAAATTTTCTACACCTTTTTTTTTTCTTCTTTATTTTGCAAAAATAACTAAAGTTTGTTCTTTTTTTTTTTTTTTGTAGAAGTGTTTGTGTTTTGCCTTTTCGTTTGTTTAAGGTTTGTTTTTTATTTGTTCTGTTTTGCTTATTATTTTTATTTTTATTTGCTGTTGTTATTGAGTGTTTTCATACTTTTTTGTCTTATTGTTTAACTTTTGTTTATCGTAATCGTTGTTAATTAATATTATTTTTATTTTATTTATTTTCTTAGCGATTTTTGGTTCATATTTATTATTTTTATAATTATTTTATTATTATAATAATTTATGCGGTAGTGGTGTAGTGGTAGAGCGCTCGCTTCATAAACGAGTGGTTCCGAGTTCGATCCCCACCACGTCCCTGGTAGTACCGCGCTCAACTCGTTTCTCCGCGCAGCGGCCTTGCTCGTCAAGGTTCGTGTTTCGGAGTTATAGAGTTGAGAGAGGGTTATAACCATTACTAAGTAGCCTCCTCGCCTGTAGTGGCCTTCTCGGCCTTGAGGAGGTGAATTAAAATAAAAAAAAAAAAAAAAAAAAATTGTTATAATTATTTGGTGTCACTCATTTTGATTATGAATGACACTCATGTCATCATATTATTTGTATTATTATAGATAATATTATTGTTTTTAATTATTATTGTTATAATTATTTGGTGTCACTCCTTTGATCAGGCTTCTGTTTGAGTGACACCTTCCTTTTCAAATAATTATTTATATTTATTCTTATTAGTTATATTTTATTATAATTATATTATTTGTATCATTATAGATAATATTATTATTTTTTAATTATTGTTATAATTATTTGGTGTCACTCCTTTGATCAGGCTTCTGTTTGAGTGACACTTTCCTTTTCAAATAACTATTTATATTTATTCTTATTAGTTATATTTTATTATAATTATATTATTTGTATTATTATAGATAATACTATTATTTTTTAATTATTGTTATAATTATTTGGTGTCACTCCTTTGATCAGGCTTCTGTTTGAGTGACACTTTCCTTTTCAAATAACTATTTATATTTATTCTTATTAGTTATATTTTATTATAACTATATTGTTTCTATTATTATAGATAATATTATTATTATTATTGTTTTTATATGATTATATGTAAATTTTGAAAAAGGAAAATAAATATCTTGTTGTTGTTGTTGATGTTGTTGTTGTAGCTTTCGACTTATCTCCAGTAATTTTGTTTGTTGCATACAAAACTTTAGCATATCTGCTTTTATCATTTCTTTGTGCTCATATTTTTATTATTTATGATGAGTAAAAATTTATTGTAAGCAGTACAATACAATATAGGCTTTATACATTTTTGTTTATTATGATAGGTTTAAAAAATAATAGCAAAAACAATAATAACTCTAATTATGAAAACAACAACAACTATCATAATAACAATAGAAATAACAATAACAACAACAACAACAATACCAAAAATAAAAAAAAATAAAAAAACTAACCATGATTTAAGTTCAGCAAATACTTTAGTAGGAATTTCAAAAGATTTAATATATGGTTGAACATTAAAATGACACTGTTGCTCTGCCAGATTAAAATCTATGTTTTTATAATATATATTTCAAATTTTTATAAAATTTGATTTAACTTAGTGAAGAAAAAAATATTTTAAAATGCAAAAATAACTAAATTAAACTTCTTTTTAAAAGGTTACAAAATTATTATAATTTAAAATAGCAGCTAGTTTGATACCTGGATATTCAAAATAGCTACCTGATAACTGTTAAAGGTAATACCTTGATTGTCACCTGGTTGATTAGAAACCAAAGAAATATTATCAAAGCTTAAATTGTTTTCAATCACTCCAGAAAAATATTCAAAATTTGGATTCATGTTTTTTTGACAAATTTCAGAAAAATCGTTTAAAAAGTTACCAGAGTCCTAAAGCAGAAAAATAATTAAAACATGATTAAAATGTAAGCGATTGTTAGAATTGTAAAATAATGTTAAACATACAGTCATTCTATAAACTCAGCTTATCATTGATGCAAAATAGTTGTCAGCTTATTCATAGGTGCACTTAAAGGATTAGGTGTGTTAATTTTCTCAAAAGATTATATGTCAGCTGTTAATATTTTGTATTATATAATAAGACATTAAAACTTTTTAATAAACTGTTTAAAAGCTGTTTTAGTATAGAAATATCATTTACTTAATAAAATGTTTTTAATAAATAAATAGTAAGGAAATGTAGAAACAACAACAAAAAAAAATAAAGCTCAATTAGTTTAATTGTTTACTTAGAAAAAAAATATTATTTAGTAAGTAAAAAAAACAAAACATAATAAACTACAAAATAAATACCTCACTTATATCAACACCAAAATAAGCACATATTTCACTAGAATATTTGTTCAACTCCTTTATGTACATCTTTGGAAATCTCTCACAAATTGTTTGTTGTTGTTTGTGAAATTCATAGTAGCTACAAAAAACCACAAGCATATACCAACTCACATGCACATAGACAAAAGCAGAAACACACACATACACAAATGTGCATGTGTGTGTTTTGGAATTAGGACTTGAATCTGCAATAGATGCAGATTCATGTCCTAATTCATGTGCACATTTAAGTGTTAGTATGCAGACAAAATGTTTGTGAAAAAGATAAAAAAAAGTAACTACAGAATTAAAGTAAATATTTTTTTATAATAGATCTTTTAGATGAAGATACTCCTGAATCATAACCTAAAACAGTTGATATGTTTTGCATTAATACTTTTTATTCTTTCTAGGATATAATTACTATATAGCCCAATATAGTCTGCTATATAGCTACTATAAGGCCTGCTACATAGTTTTTAAATATACCGATATATAGGTGCTATATTACCTGCAGATAATCTGCCCACCACATAGCTATTATACAACATGCTACAGCATGTTGTATAGTAGCTATTATACAAAAGCAAAGCAAAAAATTTTTTTATTAAAAAACAAATTTTTAATGAATTAAATTAGGGTAGGGTGGGGCAAGAGGCCCAGGTGGGGTAAAAGGCCCATCCTGCAGTTATAAAGAACCTAGGTAAAATATTATAATTATTGTTTTGTAGTATGAATGATAAATGTATAACAGTGTTGCGAGCAAATTTTGGTGAACTTTTAGTAGAAATATAATTTTTAACAGAATATTGAAGACTTGACAGGTAATAAGAATAGGACATTTTGATTTTTTGTGTAATTTTAAATATTTTTTGTAGATTATTGTTAAACTTAGTTGATTATTTAAATGAGTTTATGTATTTGTAAGCGTACAAATTATGTATTGATTATTTACATAACGTTCATTGTATCATAGAATAATATGTTTTTATCAATTTTTGCACCGACCATTTTGGGGCAAAAAGCCCAGTTTGTTAATGGGGCAAAAGGCCTATCCTGAGCTTTTTACCCCTTGCATTATTTAAGTAGAATGTTTAACTTTATATAACTTTATTTTATTTATAGATATGGTTAGAAATTACAAAAGGAAGACAAAAAGAGGAAGTTATGGAGCAGAAGGTTTACAACGGGCTTTAGATTCAGTAAAAAATGGTATGTCTTTGCGTAAAGCTGAAAACAGTTTTGGAGTTTCAAGGAAGACATTGAGAAGGCATTTGCAGGGCAAAGTAAGACAAGTTGGGAGCAATAAATTAGGAAATCATGTGAATACTTTTTCTATTGAAATTGAACAAGATCTTGTTAAACACATCCAAATGATGGAAAGAGCATTATTAGCTAGAAACGAAACAAGTGAACCTATGAATACAAATGAAGAAGCCAACAATGCGGTGGATGATGAAGCATCGGTTAATGTGATGGAGACTGATAGGATTGCAACAGGAGATAGCAATGAGTTCGATGAAAATAAACTAGATAAAACAGCTGATCATCCTGGTTTATCCAAAGCATTGCAGATTATATCAGAACTAAGCCCTATTCCAAGGATAAGTAATGTACGCAGTCGCAAACGAAAAACCGAAGCAGCAACTGTAATAACTTCTAGTCTTTATAAAGCAATGTTAATTGAAGCAAATGCAAAGAAGACAAAACAGAACAAGCAAGTAGTAGTTGAAAATAATAATGAGGAAAATGATGAAGGCGAAATCGATGTAATCGCAGACAAATCCAAGAGAACGAAAAGTGGAGATGACAAAGAAACCGGGAAAAGGAAGCAATATGCGAGAACAAAATCAAAAAGGACAATCAAAACGCATCGAATGCTAACGTGATAAGAAAAGGGTCAAAAGAACGAAGATGTGTAGGTTCTGTTACTAACAGTGATGATACGCAATGTTGCATGTGTGGTAAAAGATTTAACGAACCACCCATTGATGACTGGCAGCAATGCCCAGAATGTCTCAACTGGTACCACGACGGCTGTGGTCCTGATGACACTGCTGTCTGCATTCACTGCCAATAGGCATAATCAATTCAACTAGTCTTACTGTAGTTTTTTAGCTGTCTTTTTAGCCGTATGAATTAGTTTTTTAGCTGTCTTTTTGGGTTATGAATTATTTTTTTAGATATCTTTTTAGCTCTATGAATTAGTTTTTTTTAGCAACTTTTAAGCTCTATGAATTAGCTTTTAGCTGTGTTTTTCAGCTCTATAAATTAGTTTTTATAGCTATCTTTTTAGTCTATAAATTTTTAGCTCTTTTTAGCTCTATTAATTTTATGGTGCTGTTTGCCATTGTCATATGATAGCATATATGGTGCTACTTGCTAATATTATGGTGCTAAGTGTTCTACTAAAACTTTTGTTGGACATTTTTACACACAAATATATTGTGACTAGTAAAAAGTGTATTGTTGCGATAAATTTTTATTGTAAAAAAGGAATATTTCAAGCTATTAACGTTTGGGGTAAAAGGCCCAGGGTAGGGGCATTTTGCCCCAGCAATGGGGCAAAAGGCCCACTCTATAGCAGTTTATAAAAAGCATATTTCCATTAAAACTTGAGTAACCATTAAGAAAATAACTTTAGATACTTAAGTTTATTATGCATCTGAAATAATGGTAACATAAATTTCTAGATACGTTTATTGGATCAGTAAAAAAAAGACGAAATTGCTTTTGGTGGGCTTCTTGCCCCACCTTACCCTACCTGATTTTCGTGATATCAAATTAAAAGTTGTACATGTTAATTTGACATTAAAAAAGGTTAAATAAATTGCAATGTAGTTTTTTTTTTTTTTAATCCAAAACATTTTTTTTTCACTAAAATTTCAATAAATTAAAAAAATTTTTTTTTTTGCTATTGATTAAAACAAAATTCATTTTTTACTTTTTTTTTTATGCAACATAATTTTTGAGTTTACCTTGGAAAACAGAAATATCCACAGACAGACAGATAACCGCTACGGTTTATGTATATATATATATGTATATATAAATATAAATATATATATATATATATATATATATATATATATATATATATGTATATATATATATATATATATATATATATATATATATATATATATATATATATATATATATACACATATATATATATATACACATATATATATTTATATATGTATAAATACTTTATATTTTTATACATACATATCTTGGTCACTTCTGGTTATTTAGGCAAAGTCTAGGAGAAGCCAATTTTGACTCAACATACCACCTGCTTTGGAGGTCTTGGTTGAGTAAAGGCTAGAGATAGCTTCTTAATAAAAATACTCATCTTGGGGTAGTCAGTTTTCAAACTGGTAGTCATGTTTCAAACTCTCTGGTAGCTCTCAAAAAAACTGATTCCATCAACAGCTGTAAAGTATCAGAGTACTAACAGTGCCATGTTGTGCATGGATGATGTCTCTTTTTGAATTTTTGTTATGTATTGTCGAGGCCATTTTAGGAGGCTTTTTGCTACGGCTTAGGATTTATTATTAGAAATGAAGTAATTGTTTAGATAATTAAATAGTGTACTGAGTATTATCTGTGTACTGAGTACTGGTTTTTTTAAAAAAAAAAAAAAATTAAATTCATAAAGCAAGATAACAACTAACAGACAAGTAAAAAGATTGCAATTATATAAATCATGAAAATAAGATGAATCAAGAGAATTCCTAAGAACTGATGTTTAAGAAAAAAAACTAAACAAATAAGAATTTTTAGAGCACTTAGGAACAGTCACAGTAAAAGGATGAGACTTAATTGAATGAAGAGTAACATGAGAATGAATTTTAGTAGATGGCCCAAGAGACGCTAGCTCTTTAGAGAATCACCCATTATAGTATTTATAGAAAAGAGAAAGAAAAGCAACATTTAATAATCTTGAAAATGTTACCTGATACACTGTATGAAGAGAGCTTATGGAGAAGACCAGCATGCCAAACTTTTTCAAAAGTTTTAGAAATGTCGAGAGTAATAGCCTTAACCTCTCCACATCTACCTAATGCACAATAAAACCTATCTGTTATTACCATTAGCCAATCAGCAGTATAATGAGAAAATCGAGAATCAAGAAAATCAGCAGTATAATGAGAAAATCGAAATCCATTATGATGATCAGAAAGTTATAAGATTCTAGATAAGATACTAAATGCTTGTTAATTAAAAACTCAAAAACCTTGCTTATGATAGTAAGAAAATAATGGGATGATAGTTAGATAAGTCAGATTGCTCTGACTTCTCAGCATTTTTGAATATAGGGATAACAGATGCTGCTTTCCAGTAGACTAGAAAACAAAACTCAGATAAGCACTTGTTAAATAGTTTTGAAAGTTTAGACAACAGCTCGAGAAAACATTTCTGCAAGACTATAACAGCTATGTTGTCTGGACCACAAGCTGGAAAAGTATAAGCAGAAACTTGTTTGTCGGCTATATCAGGTAGGATGTGTTTAGTGGATTCAAGAGATGAAGTTGATGAAAAATTCTTACAAAACAATTCAGATTTATCTTCGGGTGAGGTAAAAAAATGCGAACCATGCAAGAGAGGTGATATAACGAATTTTCCTTTGTTGCAGACCCTGTTGAAGTTTAACATACCTTATGCAATATTGAGTTAGTTGTTGTAAAAAAAAAATCATATTTTAGGAACTAGTTATTTGTGAGCATTTTATTATATTTAAATGAAATGTAAAAATCTTAGTTCAAAAATGTTTCATCTATATAAATATAAATAAAAAATTTTTTACTGTTTTTTTTTTTTGACTAAAACAAAAAAAATTTTTAGGTTACAATTCAGTCAAAAGCACAAGATATTATATGTACAGAGTGTGCCGTATTTTCATCGCCATTTAATGTATATACACCTTATACAGTAATAAATGCTGATGGTTATTCCTTAAAATATGTAATTTGGAAAGAAAAAAAAAACATACAACACTGATATAGCACACTGATATTTACAAAAATGTAAAAATATAGTATATATTTTTTTCCTTCTTTTTTTATTATCAAGTCAGAACAACTACAATAGATATACAAATTATATTATTAGCATCAATTATGCATACCACATGGTTTGCAATTAGAAATAGTTTATATGATCAATTATTTTACAAACTTCTTAACAACTAATGAATAGCTAAAGATTATTCTGAAAGATAACTTTGATATTTAAGTTATAAATAGATTTATTATCGTGACAAATAATGTGATACGAGGTGGTATAGTTAAAACTGATGAAAAAACTAATGGTTGTATATTACCCTACCCAGCCATTTAAAAAATTTGAAAAGTAATAAAAACATGATTTCTTTATAAAAACATAGCTTATGCTAGTTTTAAAAAAATAACTGATTTTAAGCACTAAAACTAGATAATTATCTATTGGCAGTAATTAAACAGTTTCCTTTTAAAAAAATGTGTGCACAAAAAGGCTACAGTGATTTAGATATTAAAACTGTTTTTTTGAACATTAACTGAGGTCATTATATCATAGTTTTACCTATAAAGTCATCTGTAGAACCTAAATGCTATAAAAAACTGAGTACTTGAACCTTTTTTAATTTTACATTTAAGAGATTTTATATTTTTGGAATTATTGTACCTTAGGTTTCATAATGTTATTTTTCTTATTAATATATGCAACCCTCGGAATAAGGAAAAATGAGGTTGTTAATAAATTGTAGACCTCAAACTGTTAGAGGTCGGCAAAAAAAAATTTGACACAAACAGGTTAATAAAACATAGAAATGATGCCAGCGTTTTTTTGCCAACCTCAAACACTTTAAGGTTGGCAGTTAAGTCAACATTGCTGAATGCTGAACCTAATTCTGAGGGCTGTATTTGACATCATAGAAGAGAACCTGATGTTCATAATTTAAAAATTTTCTTTTTTGATGTCCACCTAGTTTGAATTCTAGATACTTACCTCTTTTTTATAAACTCCAATAACTCAATTGTTTGTTTAAGACTTTCTGCAAGCATCTAAAAATTAAAATAGATATAAATAAAGGTTCCTTTTTTTAAACTTATTTTATTTACCTCCCAAAGACCCAGGGATCCATATAATCAAGAAAGCTACTCTTTTTTCATAGTCAATGATACTACTCTTTTGGTTATGAAGCAAGTCTTATACCACTACCATATATTTATTGCCATTAAATAATAAACTAAGTTAAAACCATTGAATGAGATAAAAAAAAAACCAAGTTAACCAAGACAATCAGTTTAAAATCAACACTTGCAATGCAACATTAATGGTGCATCACTTACAATACAACATTTATGATATGAAAATTACTCTACAATATTTACTATACAACTGTATGAAATTTACAACAGTTATTTTATTGTTCTTTAACATTTACAATGTAAATATGGCTATTTAACAGTTGAAATAAAAGTGTTTTAAACTAATGTAAATCATCACATACATTTTTAAAACATCTGATCAGTAAGCTGTCTTAAAATATCTCAAAGACAATGATTTCTAGCCTAAGACAAAATTGCAAATATTAAAACCGAGACAAGATTAAGGTTTAACATCTAAAAGCTTATGAAAAATGATATATAAAAAGTATGCTAAAATAATAAAAATATCTCAAGAAATGACATCAGGTGCTGAGACAATAACCCTACACTAAGATATTTATAACAGGTGCAACAATACCAGTATAAAAACTATTAAGAAACCTATACCTTGGTTGACAATACAAAAACAGATAAAAGGTTATGATAGATGAAAGGTTAAATCATTATTTAAAATGCAGAGAAAACATTTTTCATGATGAAAATCAAGTAGCTGTAGACAACCTGTATTTCGAAAACATTTTAGATTCTAAGTAAAATGCAAAACTATTATACCATTTAATATAAATAAGATCATGGTTTACAAAAAATTTGCAACTTAACAGTTTGCAGTTTGCATTTTACTGACAACCCATTTTTTGCTCTAACAATATTTCTACATCTCCAATCCTATATAATATAACTACAAAAAACGTACCTTAAAAAACGAGGCTATTGTGTAGAAAAAAAATTGACAACCAAGGACACAGTGCGAAAAAAGCATTTGATAAATAAAGCCACTGTGCAAAGTTGAATTCTTAGATGTTTGAATTCCATACTTTTCTCATACAAAACATTTTTTCTACTAAAAGTTTTGAATAAATATTTGAAGTTTAAGTAACTCTAGTTTTAAAATAAATTCAAGTAGCTTTTATTGTTTTATGTTCAAATTTTATGGTTTACATTGCTTGAGTTCTTCTGATTATTTACACTTAACTAGAGCTTGATACATTTGTAGCTTTATTCAGCTAATAAATTTTATGGAAGCCAGAACTCTCTTACTCTGTGTTAACTGAAACCCCCTAACACAGAGTTGGGGAGTAAAAAGCAGCTGTGGCTGTTCAGAAGAAAAGTATTATCAGTTTTCATTATGTGTTTTCATTAATATTATGATGTTTAAAGTTCTTAGTAAAAATATTAAAGATTTTGTGAGAAAATCTTCCTTAAACTAAAACTGTTTATTAGAAGTATTTGTACCATAGATAGAAGGTTGTAAGCATCTATGTATAAAATATATAATAATATATAAAATATTTGAAGCATAAGGTTAATGACCCCACTTCGAGTTAATTTATAAAAACTCCTGTGTAGCCATTCAATTCTAAATAAGTAAAACAATAAATAAAAAACAAAACAGTATAAATGCAATCCAAAACGCTGTAATTATAATCAAATAATACACCTCATTAGTAGAACCTTGACGCATTTTATCAAGAATTGTATCAAGCATGCATTCTTTTGCCTATAAAATATGATATATATATATATATATATATATATATATATATATATATATATATATATATATATATATATATATGTATATATATACGATATATGATATATGATATATATATATATATATATATATATATATATATATATATATATATATATGAATATATAACATATATATATATATATATATATATATATATATATATATATATATATATATATATATATATATATATATATAAAACATATAAAACCTATTTCTGTTTTGATATTGATAAAATTTTGTTTTAAAATCAATACAATTGTTTTACTTTATTTTCTTTATCATGTCTTTGACGATTTCCATCTAAGTATTGCTAATTCATAAAAAAGTTATAAAAAGTATATACAATCATAAATTTTAGAAAAAATAAAACCAAAATTAATTATTATCTTACTTGCAGTCTTTGTTTTTTTTCACAAACTTCTGATTCATGATTACTCCATATATGAGCAGCGCCATGCACATATTCAAACAAAAGTGATAAATTTTGCTTGTGCTTTGCTGAAGCATTAAGGATACAACTCTATAAAAAAAGATTTTTATTTTAACGGTGTGTGTTTTTATTATTACAACGATATTTGTAATTTTACTTTTTACTTGAAATGATAATATAAAATTGTTAATGTTGTATGATTGATGCTTTAGCAAATCACAAGTATAGTTAAGAAAAATATTGGATGTAATATAGAACACATACTTCAAGCTTTTCTAACTGCTTTGAAAATAATGCCTTTCTTTCCCAGAGCAATGGGTAAAAAATATTGTTTGCTAACTAAAAATTTAAAAGAATGAAATAAAATTTTAGAACATTTTATAAAATATTTTTAGCTTCAATAAAAACACAAAAAAGCATTCTCAAAAATGTTGCACAACAAAATCTTTAAAAATATAGTCATCTGTACTTCTAGTGGCAGCCGATGTACCTGGAACTTAGTGGCAGCCCATGTACTTGGAACTTCATAATGATCACAGCATTATGTTGCTGTGACCATTAGTTCATATTTCTAATGGTCACAGTAACACAACTATTTATTAGAATAATGAAATCCTATTGATGAAATGGAAGGAAAGAAAAAAGTGTAAATTTGTAAGTTATTTAGTTCAAATATTTTTTTAATTTTTTAAAAATGTAATATACTATTTTTCATAAGCATACTTTGAGTTTTCACATTCTTAATTTATCACTTATTTAAACAAAAATGTAACCTAAATATAAAACAAAAATGTATAAAACACAGTGTAAAGTGTTTGCTTGTAAAGCAAAAAGTTATTAACTTAAATTAGATTATTTGATGATTATAAAACAAGAAAAAAAAACTTAAAACAAATACTGTTTAATTTTTAACATAAGGAGAAATTCTTTAACACATTTTAACATTTTTAAAAAGAAGAACTTATCTTGTACCTCCTTCACATTGACGGTAAAGTAGAAATTAACTTGTACCTCCTTCACATTGACGGTAAAGAAGAATTTATCTTGTACCTTGTACCTTGACAAGATTACTGATAAACATTTAGTAAAGAATAAAAGAAAGCAAAGATTATTCTTCATCCTATTAGATTTTATAATTATTTAATCAAGATTGCAGTAAAGCTTGCTTCAGATAAATGGTACTTTGCTACAAGCTGACAGTAAAAGTTTAAAATCAAAACTATTTCAAAAAGAAGTCATTACAGCTTAGTTCCTGGTAAAAATGTAACTGATTCATTTGATTGAAATGCTAAATTTTTTTACCGCTGATTAAAACATAAAAGAACATGAAGTAGCATTCAAAACATAAATGCTTTCAAAACATAAAAGAAATTGTTTTTTTCAGAAAATATTTTGTAGAATCGATTCTACAAAACTTTTTCTGAAAAAACAATTTCTTTCATGTTCATGTTTGAAGTAGCAAGTCTTGTCTTTGTTTATCTGACTGGTACCTCTTTTATCAATGATATTAGAACATTTAAGCATGTATTCCTCTACATTACTAAACAAAACATTCTATTGTGACTTAGTAGGAATGTTTTTGGTACCTCTAATTTTACAATTGGTTTTAATTCTAACATGTCTAAGTTGTATAATGAGCAGTGTTTATCGTATTTGCTTACAGCTAAGTATGTATGATCATCTAACATTTTACATACAAGTTCGAAGATTGTACATTGCAAAATATAACCTGAAAGCTTTCAAAATTCAAAAAAGTCAAATTAAATTGATATATAAAGAACATCAATTAAAAAACACCTTCTATTTTGGAACAAGAACATTAAAGAGAAAGTGAGATGACTTGAACCTACTAAAACGGCTATTTTCATAGCCATATATTTTTTTAAAATATTATTGGTATATAATTAGCTCCTAGAGTAGTACAATAAATGCTTCATGTATATTTAATAATTTTATGGTGTAGTAACTTTATAATAAAATAACAATAAAAGATTGAATAATAAAAATAACGTAATTGTCTTTTTAATTTTAAAATAATAATGACAACACTACTATTTTACATATATAAAAAATATTTAGTTATGAACAACTATAATAACATCTTTTTTTTTTTTGGCATAGCTTAATACTATATTACTACCACTTTACAACACCGGTGTAGCTAAATACATTACATTTCCAGCTACTAAAAATATTTTTTATTTTTTTATTATTGAAAGTCATTAAATGATGGGTTACCCTTGCAAGCACTAAGTGATTGTCAGTGTTGGAAATAATTTTCAAATAAGCTATTCCACAATGTAATAAAATTTTTAATACAGCAAAAACTTATTACTTAGGCAGCAAGGTTAACACTTTTTAATAAATATTTTGTCAACTTTATATGCTCAAAAGTAAGTTTAGGTAAAATACAAAGGCCACATTCTCTGTCTTTATAGAGTATATAAGCAATATGGTTCCACTGTATAAACTTACCATCCTTATATATATCTTTTTTTTCCCATATGTTTTAAGTTGGATAAGTCATATTTAAATAAGACAGTAATGAGTTGTCTTATTTTAATGCGGTGGATTAGGCATTAATGACATTTAAAATGCTTTTTCAACAACTTGCGATTTGCATAAACATCGCAAGTTACAAGCAACAGCTTTTAAGAAATTTAGTTTGTCAAGTATATCATCATACACTGCAGCTGACTTTGAAACTAGATAATTAACATGAAATATCTTATTTTAGTTGAAGATAAACTTAGATTATGAGATATTATTTTTCTGCATTCAACAAAATAGATATTAAATCATAGCTTAAAATCAAGATTTGAAATAATTCTATAATCTTCTTTTAATACACTGTACTTTTTTTATAATTAAATTAAATTTGATTTATGTATGATAGTGATGCAATATTTAGTAGCAGACTTTTGCATCATCTTTATTGCATCAAGTATATTTTTTTAATTTGCTATTATATATATTGCAATACAGCATAATAAAAACAAAAATTTATATATGAGCTATTTTTAAAGTATTTATTAAAATCCTAATTTTTTTTACTGATTAAGTTTTTTACTTATTAATAAAAATAGAAAAATATTTTTGCACAACATTTATTGTTAGTATAGCACTTATAAAAAAGGTAGAAGGTCTACCATAGGGTAGAATATGTGATATGCACATAGCAAGGTAAAATCATCTACCTTCTAAGATAAAAAATTATATCTTTAAAGGTAAAAATTTTTTTCTTTGTAAGGTAGAAAATTAAACAAAAAATAATTATTTTTAATATAAATCAGGTAAAAATTAAGATATAATTTTCTCTCTAAGGTAGATAAAAATGCTGTGTTAAGGGTATAACACATATCTTTAAAGATACCAACATCTAATTTAGCTTTGAAACCATTCAAAATGATAAAATTGTACCTGATTTTTTCTTGTTTCCAGAAAAGATACCAACATAGTGTAAAGTGTGATATATATATTAATAACTTATCCAGCTAAGTAAACTATATATAAAATATAGAGTTTATTAAGCTCTATTAGCTAATATTTTAAACAAATATACTCTGAATATAATACAAAGCATTTATACCCATATACATCCATCAAGTTATACAGTCAATGAAATGTTTGCATCTATAACATATTTTTATATAGTATATAACTTAAATGCTTATATGATATAAGCTATATGGTTGAATAAGCATATTTATACCACTACAAACTCTGTCACATAAGTACATTTATCAACAGATGATGTCTTTATTTTGTGCTATATTCATCATTTTTATTCGGAATAAGAAATATATATGCAATCTGAAACATTAACTTGAAACTGAATTACCAAAAAAATCACAGTTTGTTCATGCCATTTCAATATTTATTATAGAATATATGTAACTTATCTATAGTGAAATACAATGTTTACAATTTGATGCACTTTAAAGTAGGCTGAGCACTAGTATAGAGAGGAACTTAAGTGTTTTAAGAAAACAGCCCGCGTTTCCAGACTAGTTAAATACTATGACTATGAGATAAATGACTAATGATGATATAGTACAGAGAAATTAACAACAGTGTTTGAAAATTCACTCTTTACATTTATGTATATTAATATAAATATATATATATATCTATAAATATATATATATATATATATATATATATTTTTTTTTTTGTAATTTAGACTAGATATATAATATGTGGAGGCCTAGAAACATGCACATTTTTGAACACAAACCTATTCACAACCTTAGCTATCCAGTCAAAACCATAACTGCTTTTACTTTTCTTTGCAGCCTAGTAGAGTTCATTAGGTATTTCATATATAAAGTAAACTTAATGTGTTTAGAAAATATATAAAGTTAACTATGTGTTTATAAAAGTGCAACAATTCAATTTTAAGTTAACTATTTATATATTATCTACTTAATAATGTTATAAACTAATATTATTAAGGGTTCATATGTAATTGTGATCTTATTGACAAGCTGACACCATGTTCATTACAGTAAATTGGATTTTGTAAACTGTATGAAATTGTACACTGTGTGTAGACTTTATACACTGTGCACAGTGAATAAAAGATTTTTTTCTTTTTTTAAGCCTGAGATAAATCTATAGCAAAATTAATTTCGAATCAATCACTCTTCTTTATTGTCACTCGCATATCTGGTTTTCATCTTTACATAATTTAATTTATAATGTTACAATCAATATATCATTTAAGTTCAAAGTTGTAATCTACATAAAAACTATTCTGTTTAAAGAATTATAGGTAAGTAAATTACACGACAAATAGATTATTTAGAAATATTGCACATAACAACATGAGTAATTAGTTAACAATGTTACTCCTAATAGTTTTAGTTTATGATTTAAAATACAAATAAAAGCAATAAAAAAACAAAGTAAAAATCAGTTAGCTATGTTTTTTTTTTTTTTTTTTTTTTAATTTTACTTCACCTCCTCAAGGCCGAGAAGGCCACTACAGACAAGGAGGCTACTTATTTTGTGGCTATAACCCTCTCTCAACTCTATAACTCCAAAACACGAACCTTGACGAACAAGGCCGCTGCGCGGATAAACGAGTTGAGCGCGGTACTACCAGGGACGTGGTGGGGATTGAACTCGGAACCACTCGTTTATGAAGCAAGCGCTCTACCACTACACCACTACCGCTTAAATAGTATGTGCAAATTTCATAATTTATAATAATTTATACCTCCTCAATGTTTGTTTCATTGACTATCTCTTCTTTAACAAGCTCATTCTAAAAAAAAAAAAATAACTTAAAGGACTATAAACAGCATTTAATAATTTTGTTTAACAAACTTTATTAAGTTTAACAACTTATTTACTTAAAACGTTTAATTGCAATCAAATTTAATAAAAAACTTTTACTAAAATATTATCACAGTTTTTAAAATATTATAAAAAAAATAATTTGTCATTTTTCTGCTTGAATTCAAACACTGCTATTTTTTCTAGAAGCAACTTTTAATGCATTTATTATTATATTTTATTATTTTTATTATTATTATATTTTATTATTTTTATTATTATTATTGTTATTATTATTATAATTACTGCTGTTGCTATAATTATTATTACTATTATGTTTTGTTTACAATAATGTATTTAAAAATTATTTCATAATCATTATTGTTATTATATTCTTATTTACATCTTAACTATTTTAATAACTTCAAGATTGATTTTATTCAACATAGTTGCTTATACCAGTTTTGTTTTTAGATTTTAACTGGGAGTAACTGTCTAACAAAGTATGTATATAAGTTGTATACATAAAAACAACTTAATAATATTATTACTTGCTTATTACTTTTAATGTTATTTTATTCTTATCTATATTTCTCTTTTTTTTTATTTTATTATCATTTTTTTTACTTTTAGGTGTCACTTTATTGACTTATTTGTAACAATATACACAACATCTAAACTAATTATATAAATCTGTTTTGGTCGATCACTAGTGACATCTAAACTATTACTAATTAATACAGTTAGCGTTGTACATGAGTAACTTTTTACAATAAAATTTATGATTTATTTTGCAAATTTATTTAATATGAATAAAATGATTAAATGAGATAAAAGGTTACTGTTAGTTGAACAAATAAATTTAACAATTGGTTTAAAAAATGTTTTTTGAATATGTTTGCAACTAAATATTCTAATAAAAAAATGTCCCTTCAACGATCTGGTAAACATATTTTTTTATGTTAACCTCATTCAAAATTCCAATCTAGTTGATAGGTTGTAACCGTTATTCTATTGTCCTTATTATCAAAGAATTAAACTTGATAAAAAAATATCTACAACTCCAAATGCATGAATTAAGTATTCACCTTGGTCTTGGTTATGTAATCTTCACATAAACAAAGGATATTTTGCTGTTCCTGTTGAATCAAAGATTTGTATTTGTTTTGCACATTATCTAGTTGAAAAAGTAAGCATAAATAATTGATAAACAATGTTTAAATTATTGTTAAAATATTAAGTAAATATTAAACAGGCATAAATTATTAAATAAGCATATATTATTAAGTGAGCATAAATTATTGACATGATTATTTAAGAAAGTAAAATGATTAAAAACAAAAAAGAAATGAGAAATATGGCAAACATGGAAAAAGCTACAACAATAAAACAACCAGCAAAAACAACAATAACTATAAATAACTAAGAAATATAAACAACAACAACAACATAGTTACTCTACTAAAGATTTTCAAATTTTTTCATGTTAATTTTATATACTTTATAAATCTCTTATACATTTTATATACTTTATAAATCTCTTATACATTTTATATACTTTATAAATCTCTTATACATTTTATATACTTTATAAATCTCTTATACATTTTATATACTTTATAAATCTCAACATGTATAAACTTTCTATAGTTTTACCTTCACCTATTTAACACAACTAAAATGATGTACTCATAAGGTCACATTATGTCTAACACCAACATTTGCTACAAATTTCTCAAATTTACTATTATCACAACTAGTAAAGACACAAGTTTAGTATTTATATTGTGTGAACCACAATTTGTTTTCTAATTTATCAATTAGTTCTGTCAATGAAGTTATTCAAACAACTTTTTAAAATACTTTGATGCTGTAAAAACTTTAGTATTTGATTTAATTTTTTTTAATCTTTTTTGTTTTTGGAGTTAAAATGAGCGCAGAATCTTATTCTGAAAACATAAATATGTGTATTTCTTGTTTATTTAAAAAAAATCATAAATGTTATATGTTTATAGTAACAGATTTTGTTCTTTATTTTCCATATATTGTTCAGAGGTTGTAACTAACAGTTTTGCAAAACAGAGAAAAAGCGGTTCAATGCAAAAATAGTTATTAAATAATTGTTCTTATCATAAAATAATGTCTTCTAGATCATGCACAACTTAAGCAACCTAATTCATCGGAAGATTAAATTTAAATCATAAAAAACCTAACCCATATCCTCCACGTGGCACGCAGAAAACAAGTTTAGGAAAATTTACCCATATTCAAGTACTACCCTAAAGACTACATAAGGAAAATTTACCCATATTCAAGTACTACCCTAAAGACTACATACACTAATCTCAATTTTTCAGTAATTTTCTGAGTTTTTCTTATTTGTTCTATTATAAAGTATTTATCTTGCATATTACCTGTATTATTTTTAATAATTGAAATAACTTAACCATAATGGATTTTAATGAATGTTATTTGTACCAGTTTTGTTTCAAAATTTCTAATAGCAATCAGTTTGGGTTTTGTTTTATACTGTCATTATAAAAAATTGTTACAAAGGTAACAAACCATTTAAGCGTAAAACAATAAATATTAAACTAATAAGGTGAAATGTTTGGATTAAATAAAACGTAAAGCGCCTAAACATAAACTCTAGACAAACTTGTTTAAGCTATTATTTAAATATGCATCTATCAAACTCCAAAAAGGATATAAAAAGGTGAAGAAATAGTTCAGAGAGCGATGTAAGTGGTGTGGGGAGCAATAGAGAGCTATGGAAGTAGTATAGAGGTCCAGACGTAGAACAAGAAAAGTGGAAGAAGAGGAGGAAGAGTAAAATATATAGTCATTTATAATATATTAATAGTAAATATTGTATTGGATAAATTCAAAGAGTTGATAAAGATATTGTACTTAATAAGACTTAAATACAATTATGTAACAGTTTTAAATAACATTTGAGTAACTCTTTTAAATAACATTCACACAACATTTAGATATGGTAGAGTAACATCATATGCACACGAATCCATACTAAATCACAGTTTTAATGCCTTCAATTCAGGAAAATTGATTTAATTTTTCGCATTTATTTGAAAATTTCATTTTTTTTTTTAATTTATTAAGGATATACTAGAAAAATAAAACTCAAAAATGCATAAATTGTATTGTATGTTTTATTTACAGAAAATCATACCAATATTTTGTGTTGCTAATGTAACATCGTGGCTCCACTGGTACACAGCTGTCTCTGAGCAAAATGGTGGTACAATTTCTCTATATAAATAAAACTTAATTTTCATTAAAAATAAAAAAATAGCTTATTAAGAAAAACAATTTAAAAATAAAATATTTTGTAGTATTAATCACACAGAAAAACATACCACTAATACTAAAGCAAGGTAACACAGGTAAAACAGGTAAAAAGAACTTGTAGCAGATGCATTCTCCAATTGCAGTGCACTTTGTTTTAACAAGGGCACTGTAATTGCAACTAAGATTTCTTTTTTTCATTTCAATTATATACTGAATTTTTTATTTTCCTTTTTCTCAATCCAAATTCTCCAACTTTATTTAAATTAAAATTTCGATTACAGAGATGTAATGTAATGTTATCAAAACTTTATTACAATTAGAAAGTTTCATAAATATTATTAGGAACTGGCTGAATTTACTTTGATGAGACTATTGAGAGATTCCAATTTCAAAAAACCAGAGCTAATTATTAGAAAAAATGATTAAAGGATTATTTTACTTAAAACCTAAAACTCATAGACAAAATTTATAAAGTAAATGAAGAAGCCAATGAAGCAAGGAAGAAATCAACAAAAAAAAAATAACTGAATGGTTTCTTAGTTGAGCCAGCCAGATAAAAAAGTTTGTAAGAATATTTAGTCTGAAAAGAGCTTCTGCAGAAAGTATTCATTGAAAAAAACATATGTTGAACAAAGACACTTGAATGAACTTAAATATTTTGCAGAATGAGTCTTCCAATTTAGTTTCAATAGTTATGGTGAAGTATTTTAAATTTCAATGGAAAAAGCTTCATCCAGAATATTGGATTTTATATGATTTATATCAAGAATTTGAAAACACCCACATCTTAATGTTGTGAACAATTATTCAGAGAAGGCAGTAAAACTAGTTTAACAACTTAATAACAAAATACATTTAGAAGTGAATAGTTTCTTTTTACCCATACAAGCAAATTAGAAAAAGCTAGATCACGCTAAAGCTGCACTCAATAGCATTAACTAATATCTACTTTTCGATCTAATTTGTTATTTGAACCTGACATTTTTTGATTTTTATTTTGAATTGTTACTAAATACTTTTTAGTTTTTCATTGAGTAAAAAACAACAAATATGGCTTTTAAAGTAGTTTTGCAATGTTATTTGATTGTTTATAGTTACCAAAAAATATAATCATGAAAAAACTCATTATATTCAGATATTAGAACTCACTATTGGTTGGGAAATTAAATTATTAAATAGCTTGAGATTTAAGGGCCCCATAAATAATCAAAATTTTCCTGAATACATGCTTAAAATTAGTCCATTTTCTCAAGATATGTGTGTGTGTGTATATATATATATATATATATATATATATATATATATATATATATATATATATATACATATATATATTAGGGTGGGTCATAAAATTTTTTTTTAGAGTTGCTAACCTGGCTATGGTCTAGAAAGTTGTTTTTTTATGTACTAATTTAGGAAAGTATTTACTTTAATGGATTGAACAATGTCTTCCACTCGCAACTATAATTACAAAAATTAGCAGGCCCTATTATTATTCAAAAAAAAAGTTTTTCAAAATTATGTGATGTAGGTACTCAAATAAAGCGAATTTTATAAAAATTTTAAAAATAATAATTTTTTCATATAAAAATTATTATTTTAGATTTTATTGCATAATAACAATAGTTTTTTAACTTAAAGTGAAAAAAGTGGTGCATTTTTACATGTTTTTTAATAACAATTTTTTTCGGCAATATGATTTTTATAAAAAGATTATTATTTTCGAATTTTTTTATAAAATTTTGCTTCTTTCGAGCACCAGGTTGACCTACTTTTTTTCTCCAAAATATTAGGGTACCGGTAATTTTCCCAATAAAGTTGCGCCCTTTAAATCTATCACACACACAAAAAAAAAATCTTATATGTATACCTTAATTGGTCTAAAATGTTTAATCTTTTTACATTAAATGATTCCTGTTCATAAAGAAGCTTTTCCAAGTAACTTGAGATTATTGGTGAGTTAATAATTGATTCACTGGACATAAAATCCCTGTTAAAAAAATAAAACAGAGGATAAGAAATATTTTATTAAAAACAGTTTGTAAGAAATATTTAATTCAGCTTCATATATCAATTTTGAATGCTAAATTATGTTGATACTTAAAACAAATCCTAATTTTGTAATAATACTAACAATTTTTCATTTTTTTCAACTTGTAACTTACCAATAGCATGACACTTTTATATAAGTATTTGCAAAAAAAACCTTCTAACTTTGTAAATTTGAATTCATTGTTTAAAAAAATGACTACTATAATTTCAATAAGGAAAATATTTACAAATTTGATGCATTTTTTCACAGTAAGTTAATTGACAAAAATATGATTATTAAAACCAAAAAACATTAGATCATTGTACTATATTATGTTCTTTTTATTTAAAAATCCATTCTGAAGTTACTAAAAAAAATTTACTAATTATCATAAAAATATATGTATGAATTAGAATATGCACTTTTGTAAGAAATATCTGTGATACCTCTATTTATTTTATAGGTAGTTATCATATGCCGCACCAAAATTTAGACTATTAACACTGCAGACCTTAGAAAAATTCTAGAAAAAGAATAATACCAGTTACCAAACTTTGTTTATAACTTAGTGATAAATAATTCTAATTAATATAATATCCATTAGCTTTGATCAAAGCCTCAATTCAAGGATGAAACTCAGATCAGGTTTTCTGGATATAGTCAGCTAACATGTTGGACCATGCCTGAGAGATGGAAATTGTCAGGGCTCCAACATTTGGGTGTTGTTGCTCACAAGACTTGGCCTGAATATATGCACAAATAGAAAAATCCAGAGTGTTCAAATCTGGAGACCAAGGAGGCCAGATTTTCCTAGGGTCAGTGCGAAATAATCTCTGAGAGCTATGTCTGGACATAATTGCAATGTGGCAGGGTACACTACCCTTCATGAAAACAAAATTGTTACTACACTTGAAGTAACCATGTATCTAGGAAAACACATAGGGCTTGAGAACTTAATCAAATTAATCTTATGCACCCATTCTGATGCCTGTTGATAAAAAAAATGGAGGCATTTTAAAACCATTGAAAGCTACCAGGCTAAACATCATGATCTAACAAGGGTGCTTGGCTTGACTAACTGTTTTAATGTGGTCAAGGAAATCTTGAACACGTAGGGTCACATAATACCTATCAGCAAAAAACTGAATGATTAGATTTTTTCTTTCAAAAAAAAAGAGAACCTTCTTACTTCCTTCAGCTTCTTAGCCTTCAGAGCTTCAGTTAAGAAAATTTTTTTGGTTCTGACGCAAAATTTAATCTCTATGTTGTATTTAACAATCCTGCCAACAGTCCTATGAAATGTTGAGACCATGGCCATCTCATTGACTCGTGTGAATTTCTCTTGATTTGGCCTTTGAGACTTCTTACCAGCCTGTTATTAACAACTTAATTCTGTCTAACAGATCCGTCATTTTTTTTAACATTGCAACATTTGAAAAAATGTTTTTAACAGCAAAAACTGTTGACCAGACAAATGCTGTTTTTTTCAAAAACTCCTGGACACTTACACCATTTTTGTTATAAAATACACTAACTTTATTAGCAAGAATTTTTTATTTTTGCTTATTTTTTTATGTAGAACTGTTTTTTGAGGTAAGAACTTTTTTTTTAAACTTATCTTTAACTTCCTTATAACTTCTTTTCTTCTTAAACTTATATTATTAAATACTTTTCATACATTTTTTAAAATCAATAATAAATGTGTTATTTGATAGAATAAATGAGAATTATTTAAATAAATATTTTTATTTTATTAATGAAATAATAAATGCAAAATTCAAAAGTATAAATATGTAAATGTTAAATAAAATCTTGTATTCTACTTTTATTGCATAGTTTTTATTGCTTTGTCTTTTTCTTCGTTTTTTTTTTTTTTTTTTTTTTTTTTTTTTAATTTAATTTTTTTTATGTTATTGCAAATAAATTTGTCAGCATTATCTCAGAAGGCAGAAATAATATTGGTTAATCATGCTATAAATAATGTTGTATTTAAGTATTTAAAAAAAATTAATATAACTTTTTAAGAAATGCTTTGAAACAAAAGCATATAATTCATGGTACGATATTGTTTTTTGAGTACTTAAATTTACCAAATTGTTAGTAAATTAATTCATAAGCACATTTGAGTCATACAATTATCCTAATTGTACCTCACTAATTACTGAATGATGAAGTTATTATAAAATATAAAAAGTGCAAAGTGCAGTTTTAATTTCTAATCAAAAAAATTATTATATATATATAATTATATATATATATATATATATATATATATATATATATATATATATATATAAAACTATAGTTATATATAATAATTATATATATATATATATATATATATATATATATATATATATATATATATATATATATATATATAATTATTATATATATATATATATATACATCAAAATACATATATATATATATATATATATATATATATATATATATATATATATATATATATATATATATATATATATATATATATATATATATATATATATATATATATATATATATATATATATATATATATATATATATATATATATATATATATATATATATATATATATATATATATATATATATATATATATATATATATATATATATATATATATATATATATATATATATATATATATATATATATATATATATATATATATATATATATATATATATATATATATATATATATATATATATATATATATATATATATATATATATATATATATATATATAATTATAGTTTAGTTATTATATTTAAATCTTTATAAGCATTAATTGTAATAAAGCAGTCTGTGGTCTCAAATAATGAATAAGAAATAAATTTGTTATTTATCATTTAATTTTAAACTCACAATGGAACAAAATTTAAAAATAATAAAGTTTTTAAGAGAAAAAACAACCATATTTTACAAATCAAAAAAATCTTATTTTTATTACTTCTTTTGCTTAACTATCTGTTCGCATTAAAGTAAACAAAAACCCTTTAGGAATTTGTGAAGCTCATACAAACCTATATTTAAACCCAAATAATAGCAAAAAAATACTTTTTTAGGCAAAAAAAAAAAATTTTTTTACAACTATATCGAAGATATACTTATGCATTTCTGTGATTGCTGACAATTTTGTATTTTTCCATACTTTGACTTTGTTTTCCCAAAAAATCTTTTGATTGTTTTCCTTTTCAACATCAACTGTATAAAAAAAAAATATTTTCTTGAAAATGATGAAAAACAAAACAAAAATAAAAAGTATATTTTAAAAACACAGCTAATCTTGTAAAACAACCTGTTAGAAGTCGACCAATAAGCTCAGTATATGATTTATGATTTTGCAGAATTGACATATTAATTTCCTTAAAATTACTTAAAATTAAATTGACTTGAAAAAACAATATTACATCAACAAAACAAAAAATGACTTGAAAAAACAACATCAACAAAAAAAAAAAAAAAAAAACTTAAGCCTAATGTTCAATCGAAAAAAAAAATTAATAAAAAAACAAACCATGGCTTTATCTTCCAAAAGTTTGTAGACTTCAACAGGCTTTATGTAAGCTATACCATTGAGTTTTTTACAACAAGTATGTAACATGTCAGTTACCTACATTTATAAAAAATTGATGTAACAAGTCAACTCAAAACATTATATAAAACATAAAACAAAAAATAATATAAATTAGAAACCAATTTTGCACGATTTATTTCAATATTTTCCAAAGACTCTCCAAGCTGATTAATTCTCATGCTTCGTTTCACTGAATGTTTTTCAATCAAATTCCACAACATTTTCAAATTATTCATACTGAGTTTCATCAAATTCTAAAAAAATTTTAAATTTTAAACCTTTTTATGACTGAGAACATATTAGTCAAGTACTGTAAAAAGGAATGTGACAAGTGGAAGTGTTGTATATGTTTGTGTTTAGAAAATCAAATCCATTACAGCACAATCAAATGAAAAAATGAAAACAACAAATTAGTTACAATCAGGGTTGGCAAAAACCCGGTTTTTTTTTAAAAAAACCCGGCCCAGTGGGTTTTTTTGGGTTTTATTGGGTAAATTTGGGCTTTTTTGGGTTTAATTTTTTTTGTGTTTTTGTTTAATGATATTGAAAATTAGTTTTTTTCTACTTTAACTTTATTTAAAATATATTTTATATATTGTTGTTTAATTATTTATAACAAGAATTTTTCAAATTATTTTGAAAAAGATTTTTAAATATAATTTAAAACTATAATAGAAAAAAAAAAATTTCACGCTTAATCTATATGTATTGATTTCTTTTAAATTTAAAAGTATTATTCTATATAATTAAAAATGTCAATGAGAAAATGTGAAAAAGAAGGCTAGAGAATGGGAGGTAGTAACTGAAGTTTCAATTAAACTTTGAACTTGAAATTCGAATGAACAAACTTGTTCCTCTGCACAGGGGCCTTGTTTATAGAGATTCATGTTTAGGAGTTAAAGAGTTTTTTTTTTTTTTTAAATCAATTCACCTCCTCAAGGCTTAAGGCTGCTACAGGCGAGGAGGCTACTTATTTGTGGTTATAACCCTCTCTCAACTCTATAACTCCAAAACACGAACCTTGACGAACAAGGCTGCTGCGCGGAGAAAGGAGTTGAGCGCGGTACTGCCAGGGACGTGGTGGGGATCGAACTCGGAACCTCTCACTTATGAAGTGAGCGCTCTACCACAACACCACTACCAAATAAGAGTTGAGAGAGGGTTGTAACCACAACAAGGTAGCCTCCTCGACTGTAGTGTTGGCTTCTCTGGTCACTACTACTCATTTAAATTCAACTTGGGAGGTGAATAACATAAAGTAATAAAAATCTCAATCGATAAAAATATTTGAATAAAAATTGTAATAATGTATTTCCAAATAATGATTCAAATAATAGTAAACCTGCTCTGATAGCTGTTATTGTTGGTTATAATAGTTAATAATAATAGTTAATAATAATTAAGTTAATAATAATAGTTAATAGTTATTTTAGTAAATAATATTATAGTTATAATGTTAAAATTGGTTATAATAGTTCATAAACTTATTAAATATCTTTAAAAAAACCCAATAAAACCCAGATTTTCCAGGGTTTTATTGGGTTTTTGAAATATAAGTTACTTTGAAATATAAGTTACTTTATTATTTGTTGTATTATTCTTGTTAAATAAAATAAAATACATATTAAAATTTATTACTATTTTGATTGTCTATTAATTAATTAACTACATTAACATAAAATATAATTTCAAGCAAAATAGACCAAAAGAAAACAATGTTGTAATTACATTGATATGAAAACTCAAATTATTTATACCTCATTATCTCTTATTCGATCAAGAATGCTGTCAATATCTTGAATTATGAAACAAAAAGAACAATAGTTTTAATTGGAGTAAAAAAAATCGATCATTAAAAAACAAAAAGTGAAAACAAAACAAAAAGTTTGGTAGAAGATAAAAAGAAATAATCTGTATGTATACACAAATAAAACTAATAAATAAATACACAAAAACTTAAATTTCAAAAAAAATCAAAACATACATATTTTATTTATTATTATGTGACAGTGTACAAAAATTTACATTGTCATGCAGTGTACAATTAAAGTTCGCTACATCATTTTTATACATAAAAATCATCATATTGTTCTACATATTATATTGATAAAAGACAAACAATATCATAGTGTACAAATATATGCAATAATCAGTGCTAATGCCATGTATTTGCTAATTTGTCAAATTAGCTTTTAGTTTATGCAAATATTTAAAAATATATATCAATCAAGTGAATCAATAATTGCATATAAAATCCACCTTCAGTATTATTGTCTAAATAAGATTTGGTAGATTTGCAGGCATCTTCAACATGACTTTCCAATTCCTAATAAATAAACTACAATAGTTGCAAACAAAATTGTAGAAATTATTTTCAAATGAGATAGTAACTAAACCAATTAAAATCTATTGAAAAATTTGCACAAAAGTACAATTGAGTACTTATCTGATAAATGAACAAAAAATCATTTTTAATTAAGTACTTGCTGACAGAATACAATAATAATATTTATACCAAACTTATAAAAGCAAGTTCTTGATTCATAACTTCAATTACATCATCATGTCTAAAATTAAATTCATAATATATTACAGCCACTTTGTTATTACATTATTATTATAGTTACAACATTATCACACTATCTACTTTCTACTCAAATAAATACGTTTGAAGCAGTTTAAGATGATCTTTTGCAACCAACCAACTGCCCAGTATAAAAAATATCTTGCAAATATTCACTTTTTAAAATCTTAAATGTAATTTTTATATCTAGTTTTTATCTAATTTATGTACTTAGCCATGAATATAAAATGTAATTATTTTATTTAGAACTGAAATAATTTTTTTTTGCTATTTCTATTTTAATTATTCTAATTTAGTACTTAAATAAAACATTCATTTTGATATTTTTATTTTAATTATTTTATTTAGAATTTAGTTAAAATGTTTGTCTTTCTGTTTTTATTGTAATTATTTTGTTAATTTATTTATTTATATAAAAAATTTTATATATTCTATTTTCTTTGCCATTTTTATTTTTATAAGTTCATCTAGAATTTAAACAAAACCTTCACTTAATCAGATTTGGTTTTATTATTTTGTTTAATATTTGTATAAAACCTTCATTATTATTATTTTTCAACTTTTATTTTCGTTATTTTATCTGAAACTTAAATAAAACATTCATTTTGCCAGTTTTTTTTTTTTTTTTTAATTAATTCATTTAGAATTTATTCAAAGCATTCTTTTTGCTATTTTTATTTTAATTTGAATAGCAAATAAAAATAAATTTTCAAAAATTCGCACACCAGCCTAAAAATGATCATTCAGCTTTTTTGTGTGCTGGCATTTATTTATTTATTATGTGCTGGCATTTATTTATTATGTGCTGACATTTATTTATTATGTGCTGACATTTATTTATTATGTGCTGACATTTATTTATTATGTGCTGGCATTGCATTTTAAATAGAGAAGACTGAAATATATTTTTTAGTTGATTCAAGTTTATATAGGAGCACCAGGTTTTAATCCAGCAAAAAATGATTGCCTGCCCAACAAAAATAGGAACCAGAAATCTAGTTAGTCAGGATAGAGCATATGAAAGATCAATCAATAGGTATGTAACTTCACTGACATCTTAATAAAAACTGTTTTTTTGTGCATTATTATTAATGAAAGATGAATTAGGTATATATATTTTTGATATGCTTTGCTTATTTAGTTTTTTAGTAACTTCAGCAATGCAATAACTTTTCAGTGAAAGGATCCTAAAACTTACAGAGAAATGAAAGGGTAAAATAAAATAAATTGGAGTTTCTACTAAAGAGAGCTGGACTCAAACGCAAGTAGATTTCCAGGTGAGGTTACCTTGTTTGATATATCTGTTCCACAAATAACTGACATGATAATGAAAGATGAGAGAAGAACAGATGAGGCAAAAAGAGAAGATGTAGCATCCTATACAGACCAGAGATCTAAAATGAATAGGACAATGACTGCATGAGGGTTCTGCAAAGAAAGAAGAGATTTGAAAAAGTTAGGCAGTTGATTGATCAGAAAAATACAAAGACAGCTAAGAAAGTTCCTCAATAAGAGAAATAGACTGCAAATATTTGACAAATCACAAAAACCAACAGACAAGAAAAAAATAGAAAAAGCTTGTAAATATAAATAAGTGAACAGACAAGAAAAGAATAGAAAAATATGAACAAAGATATTGTGAAAATGATATTCACTCATTTGAAAATTTAATTTCATGCAAAGAAAATGATGATTCTAAATATAATGTATCTAATTTTTAAAAATGTAAATTAATTTTAGAATTAACACCTTAACTAAATAAAGCTACTTTTGCTGTTAGTATTTGGTATAGAATTAGTGCTAGACCCTAGGCTGCTATGATTTCTGCTATCTACAATAAAGCAGGTGCTGATTTGCATGAAATTAATTCATCAACATCTACTCTACACAGAAAAGATGCAGAGTTATTGAAAATCTTGATAACTATTATTCACTAAGTGATTAAGTTGTTTTATTATTTTGAATATATACATTAATTGATAAAGGAGAAACTGTAAAACAAGATCTTGTTGATTTTTTAAAAGGAAAGAAACTCATAGTCCATTTTGATGGAAACATGTTAGAGAGCTGGATGAAGGTAGGATAATGTATAATGGCAGGATTAAAATCTCAAGTTGGATGAATATATATTCTACATTCTTTAAGTATTTGCAAAAAAAGTTTTTTGCAAACAAGGAAGATACAGAATTAGATCTGGCAATTATATTTAAACAAACTTTAATAATCAAAATCAAAAATTTGATAATCAAGAAATTAATAACATTTATCTGTTCAAAAGCTGAAAATAATATTAAAAAAATCTCACTGGTTGGAATGTACAGTTTCACTTTGATTTTAAGAATAAATGTTTAAAATTGATTTCTCAATCTGTTAATATATATATATATATATATATATATATATATATATATATATATATATATATATATATATATACACAGGGTGTTCGGGATAAATTTGACATATTTATAATTGATTATATTTTTTTGTAGATTAGAGGTATTAACACACACTACAGGTCATTTAAAAGTTTGAACCCTTCTTCATACATATACAAGATGTCAGAAAGGATGGATGACTGTAACCCACCTGAATCATGGAAGAGAATAACTTGCATCATGATGATTCGTGCCGGCCATCAAAATAAGGATATTATGACTGCTGCCCAATGCTCCCTGAACACAGTAAAAACAATCAGGTATGAACTAGAGACTTGCAATGGTGACTACGAGGATGTAGTAAGAAGAAAGATCCCTAGCAGACAATCTGATTGCGTTCGTACAGCAGAATTCCTCGCAAGTCTGCAGGAACAGGTGTTGAAGAACCCTGGCATTGGAATTCGGGCTTTGTCACGTGAAATGAATGTTGCATCCTCTACTATGAAGCTTGCACTCAATGAAGACCTTCGCTACTACTCATACAAGCGCCACAAAGGTCAGCTACTCACAGAAAAGGCCCGTAAAAAACGTTTGATAAACGCGAAGAAACTTCTAAACAAAGTGAAACATCCTCTAGAACCACAAACAATCTGGGTTTTTTCCGATGAGAAAAACTTTTGCCAGGATCAAAAACACAACACGCAGAATAACAGGTGGCTTGCATGCAGTACAAAGGACATTCCTCGTGTAATGCAGACTAAATTTCCCCAAACTGTGATGGTTTTCGGATGTGTATCCTCTGAAGGCGATGTGATGGCTCCGCATTTTTTCCAAGAGGGCCTCAGGTTGACTTCAGATGGCTACGTGGAGTTGCTGAACACTGTAGTCAAGCCCTGGATAACAAGGGTAGCCAATTGTAGGCCGTATGTATGGCAGCAGGATTCGGCCCCTTGCCATACCTCTGTGAAAAGTCAAAAATGGTTGTCTGAAAATTTCTACGACTTCACCAGTCCAAATGTTTGGCCTCCAAACTTGCCAGACCTTAACCCCATGGATTATTTTGTATGGGGCGCAGTTGAAAAAGACACTAATTGCACTTCCAGTAATACAAAAGCCCAGTTAGTGGATAAAATTAAAACAGTTTTTGAGGCCCTTCCCAGGGAGACTGTAGCATTAGCTTGTTCGAAATTCCGAAGCAGGATTGAAACAGTGATCGATGCTAATGGTGGTTATTTTGAGTGAATTTTGTTCATAGTATTGTAATTTACTATGCCTGTAATTTTTTTTGTCAACTCATTAAATTTAATGGATACAAAGAAGATTTTCCTTTTTCTTTCGAAACTGTCAAATTTATCCCGAACACCCTGTATATATATATATATATATATATATATATATATGTATATATATATATATATATATATATATATATATATATATATATATATATATATATATATATATATATATATATATATATATATATATATATATATATATACAACCCTCAGATTTAGGAAAAATGAGGTTGGCAATAAATTGCCGACATCAATCTTTTAGAGATCAGCATCACATGGGCAAAAAAAATTTGATACAAAGGTCTTACCATATACCATAACATTGAAACAAGGTTGGCAATTTTTTGCCAACCTCAAACACATTGAGGTTGGCAGTTAGGTTGTCCGACCTTAATGCCGACCCTAATTCCAAGAGTTATATATATTATATATATATATTATATAAATACATATATATGCATATACATACATATATATGCATATATATATATATATATATATATATATATATATTTTTTTTTAAAAGTAGAAAAAGTGTGTGTGCTCAATGTTCTTAAAAGAACAGAGCATTAATAAATTAGTAGAAAATCACTTGAAAATTTTTTTTCATTTAACACTGTGTTTCATTTCATTAGAAATAAATGATCAAATTAACAAAACTTAAATTTATACCAAATATTAAATTACAGGAAGTCGTAAATGTCTTAACTACTGTAAAACTAATATTGTAAATGATGACAGTTTTTTAAAAAGAAGTCTTTAGAAATGATTACTTCTCTTTCTTTTTTTTTAATATTGTTTAAAAGGAGGGCGAGGGGGGGGGGGGTTTGGAGGGGATATAATATAAATATTATTTGAGCTCACTTATTTTTATAGTTTTTTAGGAAAAATTTATTTTCGTGCCTGCATTTAAAAATCAATTTTGATTTTTTGTTTAATAAATATTCTTGGTTCGCATGTGTAATTACTTCAAAGTTTTCTTGTAGACGTAATATGCATTTTTTAGAAATAGTTATATGCAGGTGCTGTTTTAAGGATAAACCAATTCAGTATAAAATTATCAATATTTTTATCTTTTAATTCCCATATTTATGTTGACAGCATAGTGTCTTTTGAATACTTTTTTATTTTTAAAGGACTGCTTATGATTGGCAAAACGTTTTTTACCATTCACTCTCTGTTAAACCAATATATTGTTTATCAGGTACATTCTTAGAGGAAACAACACATTTATATACCACATTTTTTGATAAAAAGGTTCCACTTATTGGACAATTGTTTTTTTGTTTACAAATATAATTTTCTGT